CCGGTCGAACGTAGATGAGAGGATTTGATACTGCACTGCCGACGCCTTGAGGCGTCAGAGCAAGGAACTCGTCACCACGCGTTGGGGCGTTATCTGGAGAGAGATGATCGTCATCGATGCGGTATTGTTTCGGTACGTTTGGTGCTCGCACGCGTGGAAGGCCAGCATTTTGTCGCTCGACCGAGCCTAATCGAGGAACAAGTCGAGGTATGTCCATTGTCTGCTCCACTAATGAGAGCACGTCGTCCCAGTCTCGCGGTCGAGTGCCAATCAATAACAATCTTCCCATCGCACAGACGAGCTCTTCATCAATAGCCAGATCTGCACGTCGCCATCTCCCAACAATATCTTCCCACATGCGCCGCCCCTCCATAATGCCGCGCTCCTTCCTTGCCGCCGTCTCCTCCTCGCTCTCTCCTTTGGGCGCATCTATCAGCAGATTTTGCCGTATAGCGTTGAGTATGGTGATGTATGTGATGGCATTGGCTGCTGCTGGCCCGTTCTCTGGTATCTTCCCAGCCACACCCCATAAGGCATCCATATCTCCTGCTCTTGCACACACTCTCAGCGCAGCATTCGTGTGCATGATCGATGGCTCGACTCGGGAATTCGGTGCGAAGAGCGAGTGGTAAATGGAGAGGGCTTTGCTAAGAACGCCGGATGTATGCGCATTCCACGAGAGGCCTCTGAGAAGAATGGTGTACGTGTAGGAGTCTGGGAATTGAGCACGCTTCTTCATCTGCGACAAGTCAGCATTGCCCCTCATCTCTTCGCGTAGGCTATGCGTACATCGTTGTAGACCTTGATCGCATCATTGACCCTCTCTTTGGCCAGGTAGTGGTCAATGATGTGGTTCCAGCTGACAATGCACTGCATAGAGTGGCTCGCCATGCGCACCAACTGCAGCATCTCTTCCCCTCTGTCTTTCTTCAATTCATTTCTCACAAACGTCGCCAGCTCCAGCGGATCCTGCAAGTGACGCAGCTCTCTTTTCCTCCTGTTCCAATCGCTATCAGATATGGACGGGTCTCGCCGGCCGAGCCTTGCTAGGTTGGGTGTCTCGTCCTCTGGCTGACGTGCAGATGACTGTCGCAGCGCTGTAGTTTCTCTCCTCTTCCGGTTCGCCGCGAAGGCCGACTTTTTAAAGTGGTCCTCTCCATCCCGGTTGAATCCTCCTGTTTCGCGCGAAACTGTCAACCCCTCACTCTCCGCGTTGGCGACACTGTGGGAGGATAGCAGCCGTTGTTGGTTCGGGTGGAGGAGTGGATTTCCGCTACGACGGAGGCGGTGCGCATTGGCGGCCGGGACATCGAGCGCCTGTATGCATCGCCAAAGACAGGCACGGCAGTTCAGCATCAGGTCGAGAGAGCGGTTCGTTGTGTACAAATGGCGTGGGATGTTTTAGTCTGGAAAAGTTGCCCGCTCGGTAGCGCACGATCTCCGGGCCGAACACGTCAGCACGTGATGACCCGAGACCGGATGGCCCGAACCGAAGAGGAGCCTCATCTGTGTACTCGCGTGCTACTCAAGACGGCGTTAGCACATTAGCAGGCCTGTGCCGCTATGAACCGCGCCGCCTCCAGCACGTCCGCTCCGCACGCGAAGAAGCAACCCAGCCTAGGTCAGACTTCCCGCGCCCACTCTAGCAGCAAACCATGCCTACCGCCAACAAGGCTGAACCTACACTACGTGCCTCCGAGTCTCTGGAGCCGAATCAACGCTATATCGCGGGAGCCAGAGCCAGCCAGGCGCACCACCATCATAGGGCTTACTTCGATCCTTCCCGTCTAACCCCAGTGACCTAGCAAGCAAGCAAGCAAACTAACACTGCCACATAATGTTTGGCGTACGGCAGGGTCTGATGCTAGCGCAATACCGGCCATTGAGTACATATGCGTCTCGGCCTATGTTTTCGCTTTGTTTACTAACACTGCTGTAATCTAGCAATATCAAACACTCGTCGATATCATACACAAGTAATGCTCTTCCATTATCATCGGTGAGATGAACATGCACACCGAGCACCAGAGAATTTGCCCTTTCACGGCAGAGCCCGACGTGGTGGGATCAGGGTTCAAAAGGGCCATCATGAAGGTAAGCCTGGTAGTCGGCTGTTTAGGTGCTACAGGACCCGTACGTCTGGCATCTGTTGCAGGGAGAATTGCGTGATTAGTTCCGTGTGAGGCGATGGTGGCATTGTCTGGACGGGAATTTGCGCCGCTGTTGCTTGTGTCCTGTACGAGGGCAGACTGCTGTGCATGTGCTGCGTGTGAGGTGGTTGTTGTTGTTATGGGTGCTCAGAAGCGGTGCACAAGACAGATCCGTCTGCGGCCACCATTTACGACCTGAACGGTCTATCATGTGCATCTGCAACCCCACGGTTGGTAGGCTGGCATCCTCATTTGCCTTGTCGCGTTGTCTTACGAATAAAGATCCAACGGCGGCACAGCGCCAGTAGATGCACGCCCACATTCAGGACCCTCGTCCCCTCGTGGCATCGGGACCGAATCCTTCAGCCCAGGCTACTGCTGTGTAACATGTGCTACCCAGCCCTTGACACGTCCATGCCTTAACCAGCAGTAGTAGCACAGCGAGCGCATGCACATCATCCTGCTAGTTTCCGCCGTCAGTCATGGACTGGCGGCGCCGTTTATGTCTGCCACGCCAGCCAGCGCCTGCTACTCCCCTGGCTAGCTTGCAAGCCCGCTACCCCAGTGCCCTTTGCAACGGCGCGCCCAGAAAACAAACCAAGGGCCAGCGCTCGGAGCATCAGCGTAGTTTAATCGGACAATGGTCTGATTTGCCACTAGACGGCGATCGTGCAGATGCGTTTTTGCGAGATGCTAGCGTGTCGATGGTGATTCCTAGCCGGCTTCGCGTTGAATGGACGCATCTCGGTGTGCATAGTGTGTGGAAGTCGCTGCGATAATCATCGACGTCGCCCATGCTCAGCTTCTTTGTTGAATTGCTCATCCTGGCAATTTGCTGCAGAATTTTCTTTCCTTTGGCGCGGCGGTTTGCCGGTGAGAGACCCAGAAAGAGGCGTCATCACTCATGCGCTTTCGGATGACATTGCCCAACACGATCACCATCGGAATCTTTGACCCAGCGTGCCGCGACAGGAAACAGTCCATGCGCCACCGTTCTCCAAGATGGAGCTTGCTTTTTGTCTGTGGAGAAGAGTGTGTGGAAAATTTCGCCAGCCATTCATCGAATGCATCTCTCCTGCCTCCGGCGGACCGTTTGTCAGGGCGCGAACGCTCGCATGACCAAGCAAAAGTGATCTAAGGATTGCTTCGTGTAATCGTAATCGATGACACGGAGTAACAGGCCATACACCCCTCTCCTCTTATTCTCGGTAATATTGAACAGCGAACATGCACTCTCGCCGTCCTATCAGCGGTCACGGCGGCTGTCTCTCGTTACACAAAATCACCCACAGGCACACCTTACTGCACGCGAGACGACCACACGCATACACATCTCATCGACAAACCGAGCATCCTCTTGTGTCGCTATCTTCGCATGCAAGTGTCGAGTGCCATATCGGCATGCAATTAATATATTTTGACTATACAACTATCATGCAGCCATAATTCCTTGTGCCATTCCCGCCCACATTCCGCTCCTTCCCCATTCGATACTAAGGGTGTGCCTCAGAACTCAGTCGAACCCGGACGGTACTTTCCACTGACCCTGAATACGAGCCTGCCCTCGTCCTTGTGGGATGTGTGTTATGCGTCATCACCGGCGTAATACAACCTGCCTCCAACTATGTTGCGACGTGGCGATGTACAATCGATTGGCTGCTCGCGTTCAAATTATTCTACATGACACCCCTGCCCCGGGCGAATCAGCACGCAGGTCGGAGCCAGCAGAATAAGTTGTGTACTCGAGTGAGGTGACACTTAAGAAAATCGCGGTCAGTCCTTGAGAATTTGTGGTCTGATGCCTCGATGTAATTTGGATCCGAGACGGGAGGATGCTCGGGCAGTTCAGTGGTCTTGCAGTGTGCGTACGTGGCGGCAGGCATGCGAGTGATAGAGTGAGGAGCTGATCATCGCTGCGAGGGCATGGACATGCATGTGGTGCTAGAGCCTTGGAGTGTAGAGAAGCGAGGCACGTCCTGTAAGTCCCAACTGTCCACGGTGAGCCTTGAAACACGCACAGACGCTGAGATGTCTAATGTACGTCCGAGATAATCTGATCTGGCGACGAAGCCCCTTCGCATCGATCATGAACTGAACGAGACATCCAGACGGTCGGGCAAGTACGGCGACAGTGCAGTGCAAGGCACGACGTGATATAGACGTACACGGCAATATCTTGGTCGGGGAACGGTACGCTTCAGTCACAGCGTCATCTTACGGCACCCTCTGATTAGCTTCAAGCGGAACCGTCTGATCATGCGACTACACATCATGTGAAGCACACGATACCGGAGTTGGAGGCGGAAGCCGACGGGTGGTATCATGGTGACTCGGAGTCAACTTCACATTGGTTTGTTCCACGTTGCCTGTGCGAGGACACAAAAGCGGAAACAGAGGCTCCAATGATGCCCAGCGATTTGTCCAGAAAGATCACACGATAGGCGAAACATGATAGCAAATTAGTGATTGATGGAGAGTAATGGGTAGATTGTTTCTTGTTTCAAACGCCGTTTTGCATGCAATCGTTCTTGCCCCCAATGTGAGAAGGTCTGTCCTCGGGATTTTGGAATGCCTCTTGATGTGATAGAAGATGAGAGAAAAACCGACAACGCAACCTGCATAACGTGTGTTCGAACAGCTATCTTCATCGTCACTTTCGTGGTATCTCTTGACACATTGTAGCAATTGCCCGACATCGATCGTCAGACCGCTTTCAGACCGAGCATCGGTGCTGAAGTAACCTCCATGGTGAACACAACCAATTAGAAACATACAGCCACCACCAAATGGAAATGCAAGCACCGCCCTATAGAAAAAATGCTGAAACTGATGCATAGGCTCGCAACATATAGGCAAAGAACCACCGTAAAGAGAGTCGTCGAGACTCGCTTGCTCTGTGCGACGGAACAAGTGAGTGCGCTTTTGGTATACCTCGATCTTGACGACCATCATCGTCTTCAAACAGGTAATCGAGGGGGGTCGGCTTCTGGACTGGCAGGACGTTCCTAGTGGTTCTGCTGGTACATTTGCGGGTTTTGTCCGTAGGGCGACTGGGGGTAACTGCTATTGTTACTATTTGGACTGTTGTACGCATTGCTGTTGGGGGTGGCATACTGAGCCATGCCCTCAGGGAGACCTGGACTCTGCGTGCCGTACTGAGGAGCAGTGCTGTTGCCAGAGGCTGCAGGTTGGTACCCGATGGGGGGAAGTTGGGGATGTTGAGGAGGTTGACCAGGGACGCCGACCGCCTGTCGCATCTGTCCATAGACAGGTGCTTCAGGAGCGCCTCCTTCGTGGGCGCGCTGCTGCACGTCGGCGCGGTGTCGCTCTTCGTCGGCTTTGCGTGCAGCCTCCTCCTCCTTCTTCTTTGCTTTCCACTCCTTTCGGATTTCCTTGAACTCTGTAAGATTAAGTTAGCATCGTATATCAGAGGTGCTAAGACGCCAAGAGAATTAGGCATGGGTCGACAGCTATTAGCTTCCGTCATCAGAAGCTACCCAGTGCGGCGGGGACACGACCATTATGGCGCTGCGCCAGCACTATCCCGAGGGCCAACCTAGCGCACTAGTTTTGCAAGGGCCACAACTACAACAGCAATTGAGGTGCTATATAATGGAAAGAACATACCTTCAGGAGTGCGCTTTGCGCCGTGCGACTGCATCGTGACGTGCGCATTCAAATGGTTCAAAGTACCGTATGCTTTCTCGCAGCCATTCCATCCGCACTTGTACATGCGTTCAATTTCTTCGTATCGCCGACGTGGTCGCTTATGTTGTTGTGCGCCAGGAATGGGTACAAATGAGTATACTGTGGATAGCGGATGCCCGCCCTGGATATGCTGGTCAGTTTAAGGGTTCGACGACGTTGTGACAAACAAGCAGCGTGACAACAAGCGCATGCGACGCGAGCCGGCTAGTTGGTTGAGATGCGAGACTAGATCTACTTACAGTGGGTGGTCGCTGAACTGGAGAGACCATTGCAGGCGCAGGTGGCCCTGAAGTCGCAGGATGCCCGTAGTGCATACCTGGCTGAGGGTAGTGGCCTGCCCACTCAGGTCGCGAAGGGTACCCCATGGGAGTTTGGGGCTGCCCTGGATAATGCTGCATGTCGTGGTGAGGTGTGTAAGGCGAGTATTGCTGCTGGTGGCTTGCATATGTTGGGCTCGTCTGCGCGGCGATTGATGGATCTATAGGAACATCCGAGTCAGACTTGAGTTGTTGTGGTGATTGATGGCCATTTGCTTGACCATCTGGGAGAGGCATTGACGGACTCTGTTGTTGCGCCATACCACCGGGTGCTTGCCCTTGAGCGCCGGGTTGATACGAACGTTGAATGTAATCCGGAAACGACCCTGATCGAGCCGACGAAGGATTCAGGCTGTAGTCTGAATTTGGGGTGAGGTTGGAGGAACGAGGATCTGGTCCCGGGGGAGGGTATTGCGCAGCAGATGCTTGATCTGCAGAGGTTCCCTCAGAAGCTGATTCAGGAAAGGTTGGGTAGGGCGAGCTCAAACCTGACTGCGGGTAGTCTGCTTGCCGTGCGTCCATAGACTGTGTAGATTGGCGAGGTGTCGAGGGTAGCTAGGCTCTAAGCTGAGGTTGGATGGTTGGATGCGTGCGCCCACGAGGAGGGATGGCTGCAGAGATATGTCCGTCGCAAACCGTCTTCGGATGATTTGCCGCGGTCTGTGGAAGACAGGCAGCTAGAGCGTATAAAGACGTAGCCTCAGTCGAGCCAAGAGAAGCACAGCCAGAAAACCGGAGAAGCAATGTGGTCAGGCCGTGGGTAGCGTGGAAGTTAAACGCGGATGATTTGCAGACGGTGTGGTTTCCACGACGCCCAGGTGGAGGACAAGCAGTTCGGCAAATATGCACCGTCGAAAAGATAACGCACGGAAGGTGCAAGCTCGAGGACACCGGGGCAGGGGAGCAGGTTAGCGGGAAGAGATCTCTCGAATCGCGGAGCAGTTGGCGCGGTGCAGAGTGAAGTGCAACGCAAAGGTTACACAATCGGTGCTAGTGGTTGACGAGCTTGCGCTGCGGGTCTGCTGGGGCGAGAGTGAATTTGGAACACAGCTAGTGACAGCGCGACCTAAAGGCCTTTTAGACTGAGTGGCGCGCGACGTGGATTGGCCACCAATGGATCGGCCTGGAGGGACTGACGGCTTACCCAGCAAGCCTTAGCACACCAGATGAGGTAACGGACGGCCGTAGCGGCGAATACAGGGGGGCCAGCCTAGTCGGTAAAGCCGAGCCGTGACAATGGGAATGGTTACTGTTCTGGGTTGAGTGGCTAGGACAAGGTTGGGATGGCGCGAGCAGCAGAGTGTGGGACGCTGGGCTGCTCGAGGGTGGGCAGGAGGGGCGTGCGGGTCCGTGTAGAGGTGGCGCTAGTGACGAAGAAACCGGGTTGGGGTGGGCTTGTTCGCCGAGGGTGAAAGGGTGCGCACGCGGCCACAGAAAGGGCTGCGGTGGATGCGCGTCGCTGACTGGCTCCGCAGCCACTGATGGGGCAAGAAACACAGTCGGCCCGTTGGGAAATCGATGACTGAAGGTTTCGCTCAGACTCTGGTTCTCGCAGCACTCTTGATTCCCAGAAAGCTCAACTAGGCCGAGCGTGCCGGGCGATCGCCTCCTGGCCGGGCAGCGGGCTTCCGCGCAAGTCTACAGTCTCGAGGCAGCGCAGTCCCGGCACGAGAGCAGAGGTTGGTCGTCGGAAGCGCGCGCACCTGCTCCAGGGAAATGGACCGTCAAGGGTGGGCGATCTGGTGCCGTCTCTTACGGGCCCAAGTGACTCGCGGCGTGGCAGGACAGGCAAGACAGCTGGTGCGTATGGGCAGAAGCTGTGGGGTGCCTTAGTGACGAACGCGCCGGGAGAGCGGCGATCGCCTTGCTGGTGGCAGTTGCACGTGTAGCAGCGCTCGAGGCGTGCGACTTGGTGTGCCTGGGGTCGCGAGCTATCGCCGGTGACGGCAGCGTTAGAGCCAGGTACCGGTCGCGCTGGTGATGATGGATGAGCTGGGTGAGATTCGCGATGTAGGCTAGAGTGAGGGCTAACGCAGAAGCTGGTTAGACACCAGAGTGGCAGCCACTAGTGAGAAAAATAGTCCGACAGCACAGGCACGGGCCCTTTGGCGCTGACTAACGTGACGTACTGACCGCCCTTTGCACCCGTTTGCACGCTGCAGGCCTCAGCAGCCCCGGCAGGCAGCCTCGGCTTGTGCCCATGTCGTCGCCGCCGGGCGTGGCCTCGCGGTGCTGTCGCGAGACGTGCAAAGAAGAAGCGGCCATGTCTTGAGGCTGAAAGCTAGCTCGCCGCGCTAATGGCGGCATGGTACAGTCGCGCGAGGCCTAGTACCCAAACCACGTTAGGGGAGCCTCGAGCTCTACACTTCACACAACACCTTCGCAGCTGCTCTCTCTCCAGCATCACCGCCGCCGCCCATGAGTTCTGCCCACGACACCCTCACCACACGGCCGGGCAATTGCGGGCCTCGGCAAGAGCGGCCTGCAAAACGTCTGTCTGCATGCGAGTATTGGACACGGCACAGACCTCGAGGAGCGGCAATAATGCCCAATGCGTCAACGAGAGCGAAGCCCCAAGCGACGTCTCCATTGCGGTGTGTGAAGGTGAAAAGCAACTTGCCACGATTACCCGCCGCCGACTTTTCGGTCCGTGGCCGTCATCGCCGTCTCTCGTATGGCCTGCTGCGAAAATGACAGCTTTGCCATGCCTCTCGCAATCTTGTCGAGCATCGCATCGCGGGTCCAGCAATACACGCAGCCAATCCGTGGCTTCCCTCCATCCCGCCTTTTGGCTGACGGAGAGCTGACTTGTCCATCACGGATAATCGTCATCAACTGACACGGTTGCCCACACAAGCGATATCAGCCCGAGAGTTTATCCTCTCGCCGCGGCTGCCATGATAGGCACGGCTGCGCAGCTGTTTGAAGTGCCCCTCTACTCTCGCTCTTATTTCCGCTTTCGCAGCTTCAAATCTCAGCCCGTCAGTGCATCTGGGAGTGCGACCTTTTCCATGATGATGTTTGACCCTTGCCTTTCCGTCAGCAGACCCAAGATTGCTGCGTCTGCCCACGTTATCGGCTTGGCCTCGAGCGCACGAAAACGTCGGCTAGCACTCAATCTTGCTGCTGTCAGCTTGCGAAAAGTGGGCCCTGGCTCTTCGTGTATCTTTGCTTCTGCACGCTGCAGTGTGCGAGTCTCGGCAGCCGTGCAGCACTGTGGACTGCCGCCGTCCTCGTCATGTCCATCACATCGCATTGCATCAGCGACGTGGCCTACCGCCTCCCCACCACTCATCAAAAACAGGCGTGCACTCCTTGAACAACAATAGATATCTCCAAGATATGTCTAATTCAATCTTGTACGGTGTGTGCCTGATCCGGTTGTCCGCATCCGATGAGCCCTGGCCCCAGCCACCTCTCGCATGCCCACGGCACTCCCTGCAATCGTCCGCTCCGTGTGCTCGTCATCGATGGTGTCAATGTGATTGTTGTGGAGATGGCGGTTACAATGCGAATTGTTTCGTGCCCCCAATAGAATCTGAGCTGCTCGTCCACATTTGACGTGATTGGACATGCACAACCAAGACTGATCGGACCCAGGATCATACGAGCAGAAGCCGCTAACTATCGCACACACGCCGTCGAACGGGAGCGGGAGGTAATCTCGATCACAGCGCGAACACCACGCCGCGAGTAGACTATGTCAACTTCAGACTCTTGGTGCTTCTACCTCCTTACACAATGTTCTAGCGTGATAACTGCACCACAAGGCGTTTTCCAAGGTCATCCCCAGCACCACCGTCCAAGTGCACCAGCCGATGCCATTGCAACAGAACCAGGATTCGTAGTGTACAAAGACGACGGTGAGGACACTACATGCCGCTCAGTACTCAGCCGCTTGCAAGTGTGATAGAGGACGTATTCTTAGCCACGGCTAATGTCTGGCACTCCTCGTATCCAGGAACGCTCTCATCTGCTGGTGGAAGTTGGGCGAGCGGGTGACACTACAAGGGCGCCCCCTGCCCACAACACGAAGTGGGTCTGTGGCTGTTCCACGTCTTCGGTTGAATAGATCCGCCGCACTGCTCTCACGTGGCTGGAACACAACGGAGATGTCCAAGCCTGGTGAGCGATATTTTTTTCGGTCATGGCGGAGGTTGGCGAAAGCGCGAAGTCTACCCAAACCACAGGTCACAGTATGCGGGTACTATACTGGCCGACTTCAAGGCCGACCAGAAATCTTGGTAACTGTCAAACCAATGTCACTGCTGCATCTTGATGCACACACGCATCAGCTGCCCGTGTCCGAAAATCTTCGCATTTCTCGTTAACTGACACGCGGCATTGCGCGCAGCCCAGCGGGATACCTTCCGTCCATAAATTGAGGTAGCGGAGGCGACTCCCACATGCCACCTGCAGCGCTGTAGTCATGGGCCTGGATGCATGATACCCTTGTTACAGAAACCTTGGACCTTTGCAATTCTGCACAGTCTCTCCCCACTGCAACCCACCAGCAGTCCTGGGGTTGGCATCCATGAGCTTGCACTAGCCTGATCATCAGGTGATTCTCAGTCTCGCCAGGTGCTAAGGTAACATGGCGAAGTAGACAAGCGTGGTCATGGTGGTGAAATGCACACATGCACGTCAATAGCTAGGGCGTGTGTATGATGCTGTGTGCGACGTCGGTGCGAACTCCGGATCACGCTGCTCCTGGGGTCGCACAACGCCCTGTAGCGCCTTCCTTCTTCAGTAACCCGCGCTTTGGCAACTTCCTCACATCACAACTGTAAACATGTCCCCTAATCTCCACGATTCGCCTTGGCCTGCTCTGGACCACGTCCACTGTTCTTCGCCATGTTCCCTCGTCTGCAACATCGAAACCTTGGTCATGACATAGTTCTGCATTTCCCAACCCACTTTTGTTTGGAAGGCCCATACTAAACCATTGCCCGTATTACCCGACACACCATCTACGGCATTGACAACGGCCATGCGCATGCCAGCACTCCGGTTTCTGCGGATTCATGGCCCACCCCGTTTGGTAATGTAGGTGCACCCGAATCACGATCTTCCTTGACAAATAATGCTTCTTTAACAACCCTACTTAGCTGCCCGCGGGAGCTGCGCCCAGAGCGACCGAAGAATGGCCGACGTTGGAGCCCGCAGATCGTCTCTGCCTCCTTGTCTCGATACGACATGGCGTGAGCTTGGTCTGCTGGCTGTGCCTCATCCCAGTCGTCACCTGCATTTGCTCCAGGTCTCTCTTCCTCGTCTGTTCTTTCCCTACCTCCTCCGTCCATGACTACGATGCGTTAGCGGATCTGAGCGCTGCCTCGAACGGACATCTTCACTGTTCAACTGTTCCGACTTTCTCCACATTCCGCTCTTTGCAAATCTTCCCGACCCTGAGTCAAGAAAGGCATCCGACACACTTTGTGGGAGCACTGTGTCCGATGGCCAGGCCACAGGGTCGGTCCTTTCCAACCCATGAAAACGCAGTCATGAGGTGCATGTCTGTCGGCATCTACCCGCTACAAGTTGGCGCGAAGGTTTCTGACGACTGTCCCCAGCCCCCCGTACTTGGAACACGTCGAGTCCCCGTCGAAAATCGATAAAGCTTGTTGTGTGTTAGTTTACAAATGTGCACGATGAAACGGAGTCTAAAGCTGGGCCGCCAATTCGCCGGGCAATAGCGCGATCTAGTTCCAAGATGCGGTTTTCTGGTTCAGCACAAGGCTCATGCGTTCCAGTACGTAGTTAGTGGCCGGCGACCTGTCACCCAATGCCCGAACTACAGTTCGTGCAAATGGCTCTTGCATGGAAGAACACGAAAGCGGGCTGCGTCATGGTGCTTTGGCTTTGTTGAGCCACATCTTCCCTGCTATTGGTGTTGCCATCATAGCAGCAACCGTCTCTTGCGGCGCTTGAGTCTTGGTTTTGGTGGTAAGGATGCCCAGCCTTTACTCCCTATGGCCTTGCTGATCTTCATGGGCCTCGATTGTGCGGAGTTCAGACGAAAGGATCAGCCATAAGACACATTCCAGATCTGGTGAACCTCGGGACAGTCCTACCTTGCGGTAATTATTGCAGGGCACATCCACAGCAATCTCGAACAATCCAACGAAACCCTCAATGGACATCGCCGTGCTCGCCTCGCCTCGGGACGGTCATCTGCAGTCGGGCTACCTTCCATGGGTAGCTGTTTCCGCGGAAAACCTGGAAGTCTTGTCACCAATGTGACGATGATGATGATGTCCATACCCGGCTGCACCGGGAGACACCTGCTGGGCGGAAACGTGTTAGTCAGATTGCTTTCTTGGCGTTGTAACATCTGGAGAGTGACGCCCCAATGTCAGACAGCGAGTAATTTGCTGCACCCTGACGTTGCAATCGATCCCGCTACTGCACGACACCGTAACTAGACCGCGATTCACAGTCAGACGTGGGGCATGGGCAACAGCTTCTCAAGATTTGCTTTCGCTTTCATGGATCATATCGATCACCTAGAAAGGCGTCTACACTTGTAGTCCGTCTGTTGCGTTCCTCCCGCACGAGCGGATCATCCGCTCCTTGAACACGATCGCGTCTTGCGCCATCGCAGCGATCATTGTCCGGTCAGCAGCCGCTCCCCGCTATCATCTTCATGCGCAATCTGCCTCGCAGCGATCCTGGCTTTTGCTCTGTCTCGGCTCTATTCTTTACAGCGTCTACTACTTGTGGTGCCACTAGGCAAGGTGTTATAAACCAGTCCATACATACGCTTTACATGGCGAGATCGAAATCACTCAAGTGCCCTGTTTATTCCTTCCTCCCCTGGCCCAAGGTACAAGCATGAATAGATGTATCGTGATATCATGTACCGACACGGTTGCCTAGGTAGTGCGGATCCAGTCCTTAGGTGGTCATCATCCGGGACGCCCCGGGAAGGCGTCTATCCTACGGCGAAGAAGCACCGAGTGTTCCATCCTCCTTTCATCCACCTGAGCGTTTCCATATTAGTTCTATATTATCTCTCGATAGTACTACCGTGGTCTCTCTTACCAAGCGACTAGTTCGGTCGATATAAGTGTTGGGCAGCTCGATCCGACTAATATGCTCACGTACGTATACGCGTACTCATCATTCTTTGTCTCACTGTGTTCACGCTTCTCAGAAGATTCCGTCGTGTATGCGCTTCAAAATTCTCATAGCCATACTTACTGTACAATCGATGCTTCCTGTTGGATAGTGCGTGCGACCCGGATCAAAGTTCGCATGCGTCGCTGGAAGCCCAGGAATATTCATCATCAACGCCTTCCTGTGGGCGTCTAAGGAAGTGAGTCTGCCCATGGGTGTCCAAAATGTTGTACTTCCAGAAACCTTGTATAATCGTCAGCGTGAGTGGGTGCGTGGTTATGCCTAAGACCCTGCATACATGTGAGTTTATGATGCAGACAGTGGCACCTCCCAGCCTCCTCAAGGTTCATGGCCAGTTGAGGCTATCCTTTCCATTCGATATATTTATTTCGGTATTCATGAGCGCTCAAGCAAGACATGTTGTTCTAACCTTCACCCTCTGACCACAAGGTCATGTGTTGGATGTCGATGTTCTGGTACCTCAGTCATGTTTTCTCGCTACCACTTTATTATGTTTTGCTCACCAAACGAACAGCAGTCCTTACTTCTACATCTTGAAACCCGACACATGAAACCAGAAACTTTTTGTAGTCCCACAGTAAAGTGATGCGTACCAGAGACCGACAACTAATGAGTAGAGGTATCAGGCAGTCGCAGTGGGGCTGGGGCCATGTTGAGGCTCTGCATGGCTTTTGGCGATCCCCTATCCGAAGGTAACCCCGAGCCGAAGATAATGACCAGTGTCCCAAGGGAATAGTGAGGAGTATGCATGAATTTCAGTGTGGACTTCATCTTCCCCGCAGCAACTGCCGCGTAATGAGCGCAGTCAAAGGGGTCACGGTGGTGGCTTAAAGAGGGCAACAGGTCTGCTCGTGTTCCAGGTAGACACTGCTTGTCAGCATAAAGGGCCGGTGAGAATACAGTCCTCAAGCGAAAGATCGCACAGTGGAAAGGGGTATGTACAATATGAATGATGCCGAAAGAATACTGCGAGCAAACAGAACCTTGTCGAAATTTGGAGCAGGTAATGACACAACCGTATGCTCTCATATCGTGTATACAATCAAGCCTCGATATAATTCCAACGCAACAGATATCTGTTGCCTCTGTTGTATGGTCTGAAAGAGACTGAGATGGTACATTGGAATAGATATACTGAAGACATCATCGACCTATCATTGTAGACAAAGACTCACATATGTTGCTGTTGTGCTTGTATACAGAGGTGTGTTCCTTACAGGCATACCGATGCTTGGAAGCATCCCAGAAGAATAGTATGTATGCAGCTACCTCTAAGTTTGTATCATCCTTTCTGAAGAACGAACATGAATGCTTTGTCTACAAAGTCGTATAAACAAACATGACATTATCCTCTACTACCTCGCTATAAGAGGTACCCAAATCCATCTACTTGAATAGCAACACGTTAACATATATCCATTCAACACCAGCTTGCAATGAGATTGAATGGCAAGGACGAAAATATAGAATGACGCAAAGGCATATACCCCTGAACTGCGCTATTCATCCCTTCTGTCTAGCTCACATATCTAGTCGGAACACATGGTCGTCCTCTATGTGCATGTCATGATTTCAACAATCGTTCTATATTCCTTTTCCCTTCTTCCGATGATATAGTCCTGGTCTTCCACCAGAGGATGTAAATTCGCTGTTGCTATGGAATCCTATCTTACTTCCTCTCTCGCGAGATCGACATGAGAGTCCTGATGAATCGGCTCGTACTCACCTCTCCGCAGAGGTTTCACCGGATCTTAGATTTGACCGACAGGTCATGCGCCCAAATCACAAGATGTGGCCACTCCGACGAACGGGATTTTGCAGCTGCTATCATGCTGATGAAGACAAAGAGCCTCGACCCAGCGGGCAGGCTTAGTCAAAGGCTGTCGGTAATGTTTAGTGTTTGGGCGTCGATAGACAGAGAGGGCTCAGCGACGTGTCGAAACGTCTAGCTATATCAGTTTACCAATAAACTACAGGACTACCTTATAACTTTAGCACAAGACACAACAAGACAGTCAGATCAAGCAGACATCATAGTAAGATACGCAGTACGTGTATTCTATATCGCTATTACAGTTACAGAAACTTTTTCTGGATATAAACGCCACCAGCGCCATCATGCAAGGGACTGCTGAATAGGCGCAATCTCGATAGAGGAAAACAAAACCATGCCAGTCTAATATGTGGAAGAACCATGCTACCATACTGAATCGTGTCCATGCATGAAGATCAAAGCTCTATCCATGGGGTATCAGGGTACGACAGAGCCTGAGCAGGTACAGCAGCTTTCCGTCGCACGTGGAAATGGGATGAAAGATGAAGCAAGTCCGAAACGATTACCTCCGACGCCGAAAGCAGGTTGGAGAAAGGGTGCTCATCGTTCTGACAATGTGAATAAGCAGGTGCGATGGATAAAGTGATCACCAGCGGCTGTTGCGGATGGGATCGCTGTTACCTCCGGTCCAGCCTGAGATGGGCGTTAGATCTCGCTCGGTGTCGAAGGGACTTCTACCACCTACCACCACGTCCGCCACGGCCTCCGCCACGGCCGCGGCCACCTCCCCAGCGACCGCCACCACCACCGCCGCCACCATAGCGGGCCATCTCGTGCAGACGAGGATCAATCTGCTGCTTCGACTCTGTGAGAATCTGGACGAGATCACGAGCTTGCTTGGAGTCTGATGAAACTGTTAGTGAATGGTTTGCAGGGTAGGATCGAAGATACATACTGTCTGTGGTGAAGAGGGTGATGGCAGTACCGTTAGCGCCAGCACGACCAGTACGACCAATGCGGTGGACATAGTCCTCCGAGTTGTTCGGGTAGTCATAGTTGAACACGTGAGTAATGTTGCGGACATCTTGAAGAGCAAAGGTTAGTGACTGATGAAAGGAACGAGCAAACGACGATCATGATTGGATCGCGTGAAGCTGCAGTATGTTGCATGCAACCGTCTCTGTGCGCTACAACGAAGATCACGGCATCAAGTCCAGTGGGAAGGCTGTGGATGTCTCCTGGTCCAGAAACCCTTGGAAGAGAGTGCGACTTGTGGAAGTCAAATATCTCAAGCAGCTTGCTTCAGTAGTACCTTGGTAATACCAGAAACAGAAGATAGCGAAGACTAAAAGCTTCGCCAGCGTAACCAAGGATCCCTGGGGATCAGATTCGAGAGAGATGCAAGCCCTGGACGATGTCATGGGAGCGAGTGTAACGAGCGCACAAGACGACCTAAGCAGAGCACAATGGCAGTTCACGCATAATAATAGTTGGGGAGGTGAGGAGGGGGGAGTGTTGGGGGTTTGCAATCATACCGATACCACGGGAAGCCACGTCGGTGGCAACCATGATGGGGCTCTTGCCCGTCTTGAATTCGTTCAAGACCCAATCACGCTCGTTCTGCTGCTTGTCGCCGTGGATAGCTGGAGATGAGTTAGCGATGATCAGATCATGGCATGCAATTCGACTTACAAAGCGCCGGCCAGCCGTCCTGACGAAGGAATCGGGTGATCTCGTCAGCAACGCGCTTGGTACCTGTGAAGATAAGAATCTTATTGTCCTTGTCGCTCATGATGGTCTCGAGATGCTTGGCCATGCGGTCACGCTTCTCGAACTCTGTGCAGACCTCGACGATCTGTTGAATGCGGTGGTTGGCAGAGAGATCCATGGAGCCGATGTTGACCTGGATCCAGTCCTTCTGGTAGTCGGCAGCAAGCTGGCGAACTTCCTTGGGCCATGTAGCGGACCACATGCAGGTTTGACGGTCAGGGCGAATCTGTCCAATGATCTTGCGGATTTGAGGCTCGAAACCCATGTCAAGCATGCGGTCGGCCTCGTCGAGAACCAGGTAGGTAACACGGCGAAGGTTGGTCTTTCCAGCCTCGAGCATATCGATGAGACGTCCAGGGGTGGCAATGCACACCTCAACACCGCGCGCAAGGTCACGGATTTGAGGGCCCTTTGGAACACCTCCGTAGACGCAAGTGTTTCGGATGCGCGAGGACTTTCCGAACTTGCTGATCTCTTGCTGAATCTGGACAGCAAGCTCACGAGTGGGCGCGAGAATGAGGACGATGGGGCCATCGCCGGGGGCGAGGAGAGGTTGAGCGTTGATGTGGACGATCGCAGGAAGACAGTAGGTCAACGTCTTTCCGGAACCGGTCTCGGCGACACCAACAACGTCGCGACCAGAAAGAGCCATGGGCCAACCCTGGGCCTGAATAGCGGTGGGCTTTGCGAAACCCTGGGCCTTGACCTCGTTCATCACGTATGATGGGAAGCCAGCCTCGTCGAAGGTTGTGACGGGCTTGGGGATGTTCTCGCCCTTGACGGTCATCTGGTGCTCCTTGCGGTATTCGGCAACCTCAGCTGCTGAACGGGCAGTAACAGCGGGATCCTCCTTGTAGAAAGACTTCTCGAACTTGGGCATCGTGTCGAGATCTGGAGATTGTTAGTGTTGTGCGGAGCCAATACGAGACAGTGGAACGTACCCCATGATTGCTGCTTCAGGCCCTGGCCGAGTTGCGACATGCGGTCGCCGCCGTCGCGACCACCGCCAAAGCCGCCGCCGCCGCCGCCATAACCACCACCTCCTCCGCCGTAGCCACCACCACCGCCGCCGTAGCCGCCGCCGCCACTAAATAGATGTTAGCAGATGTCGCTGAGATGAGATGAGTGACAGAAGGGGGATTCTACGTTGTCGCATCGAGTAAGCGATCGCCCGGTTCGACTGAGACAGCCTGACAGGATGATCGAACTCAGGCTGCGCGCAGAATGGAGAGAAAGAATGGTAGCAGATGGAGGGCTGTCCAAGAACCACGACTGTGATGCCGTTCCCGTGTGAAGGGGGTGTATCGTCCTACCCGTACGATGCATAATGGCTTGTCGAGTTGTTGTAAGACCCATATCCAGCATTGCTGTTTTCGTACCCGTTCGAGTAGCCACGGTCACCACCGCGACCGCCGCCGCCATATCCACCGCCGCCACCGCCGTAACCGCCTCCGTAAGACATGATGTGAGTGTGTGTTGTAGAGACTGGCGTCAAGGGGGAACCGATCGAGTAAGGGAGCGTGTTTCGAAGTCTGGAGACTAAGAGAAGATATTAGTTGCAGTAGAGCGACTGTAAAAGTGTCGCGTGTTGTGCAATAAAAGAAGCACAAATTGTAGAGGTTGCGAGTTGGGGTGAGAGGAAGTCAGAGGGCAGAGCGCGACAGGAAAAGTTGCCTTGCCTCCGTTGCGCTTGCACATTTTTTGAGACGCTAGCGCCACTAGCACCAGGGTCTCGCCCAGTTGGGTAAGGGCGGAGCTTGCCGTTATCAGCCCGGGGAAGCGACCAAGAACACCGAAGACCATGTTGCCACTGTGGGCCTTGCATCTGGGCGAATGCGAAGCATTTTCCATTGCGACCCGCATATTGCAAGCTCTAATGCCTACTTTTCGAAGCAATGTGAGATGTGAAAGTGTACTCCTGCATGATGACGAGACAACCCGATGCTCTCCCATAATCTAGGATACAGTCCTGTGCCCTGGTCCTCACCTTAGCCCATCACCAGCTCTGAGTCCCATGTCCCAAAACCCTCTCTCCATCTACACAGCATTAGCATGTGATCGACTTTGATTTCTGAGGTACTACTCACATTCGTAGCGTGTATGAAGATTTTCGCCAGCTCTTCCACCCGACTCGGACTCAGTCCCTCGGCATGCTTCTCTACCAACTCACTACCCCTTATCATCGCTTCCCTATACTCTCCTGCCACATACTGCTCAATCCACTTCCAGTACTTGCTTCCCACCCTCACGGTGCTGGGGTCTTCGTAGAGACGTTTGGCAATGATGCCGTATCCGACGAGACAGGGTAGAAGCGCAATCTGCAGAGCAAGATAGTCTTGCGACATGCCGATGTCGAGCACATAACGGGTGTATGCCGTGGTCGCTTGGTCCTCCTCTTCTTCGATGATATCGGCTTCCGATAGTCCGTATTCTTTACAAAAGTCGATGTGCAGCTTGATCTCTTCCTGGAGGGTGACGACTTGTTGCACGGAGTACCCAATGTCTTTCAGATTGCTAGATTTGTATGCAGACAGCGCATTCGCTCTTGCAAATTGGACCTCCCCACTTGTCAGCCATTCTCTTCTATACGGGGATTGAACATGCTTGGGGATATACTTACTAAGAAAAGGTAGTCCTGCACAAGATAGTACATGAACTTCTCCACTGGCAGAGTCCCAGCGCCCATACTCTGCACGAACTCGTGTTGGGTATACTCCTTCCACGGTTTCTGCACGTCTTCTCGGTCGAGCAGATAGCTAATAAAGTTGCCTGGTGTGAAAGGCAGCATGTACATCGAATGGAAATGGTTGATCGGGCCGCTGCCCCCTCCCATATCGATAGCTGTCTTGATGCCTGCTTCAACGTATAGATTGGCCTTCTTTACTGCCTTGACCATCGACATTCCCTCCGCCAGGTTGCACGCAATAGCGGATGCTAACGAACATCCTGTTCCATGTGTGTTCCTTGACCGCAGATACGGGCTCTCTAGCATCGTAACTCCCGTCTCACCCACAAGGATATTCAGAACAACTTCCCTTTCGCTATCGTGCGTGCTCACTACGCGGCCATGGGTCAATGGCAAATGGCCCCCTTTCAGTAGCACCCATTTGGGTCCTAATGACTGTACATGCTGCGCCATCGAGACGATGTCATCAATATTCTGTGGGTCAGGGAGATCGTGACCGGCCGTTTGGAGAAGCAAGCGAGCCTCAGGAAGGTTCGGTGTGAGAAGCGTTGTGTGAGGCAGAAGATATTGAATCAGGGTTTCGATGGCTGTTTCGGGAAGGAGCTGTGAGCCAGATGTTGACACCATTACCTGTTCATGTAGTCAGCACAGCACGGGGCTTGTTTTGTTCGTTATAAAAAGATCTCGAATGAACTCTCGGACGTACAGGATCAACGATACTGGTGTTGATCTCATGTCTCTTCAAAGCATCCGCAGCGACCATAATGGTCTCGGCAGATGCAAGCATGCCTGTATCTTATCAGCACCTTCACCAACAAAACGTGTCTCTCTGAATGTCATCATACCTGTCTTGACCACATCCACGCCCACATCTTCACAGACAGCATCGATCTGCTTCCGCACAAAGTCCGGCGGGGTATGGTGTATGTCCTGGACGCCTAGGGTGTTTTGGGCTGTCAAAGCAGTCGTGGCCGTCATAGCATAGCAGCCATGCGCTGCAATGACTTTCTGATCTGCTTCTAGTCCGCTGTTGGCGGGCCAGCATGGTTAGTGGTGTGTGGCTGATGAAAGGCGGATGCATGCACGCGTACGTACGCCCCACCCGAACTGTCCGAGCCAGCAATTACTAGAATGCGTTTCGGTGCCATTATCAATCGAAAAGGGGATGCATGCGTTGCTTCACGATCGTCTGGATATAACAAGTAGTAAGACCCCTTACATCGTTTTCTCTAGACAAGCCTGGAGCCCCACCATCCGCGAATACGCGTACGCGAGATCCACGTCATCGACTCGCACCTTTGATGCTGTCGCACGCCATGGAAGCTGCGCGTCCGACGTTGTGGAAGGTTGCACGAAATTGTATATCTGTGCGCCTGCTCCCTTGACATCCTGGATAATATCCAGCCCTTTTATCAATTCTACCTAGGTCAGCTTTGAAGGAACCCATTTTATAATATCGACCTTTCGGTAGATCGGCGTAAGCAGAAGGAGTCTTGCCAGATCTCTCCAATAACGTGAAAGTCAGAGCACATGAACTGATTCTGTGAACAAGCAAACATCTCAGGAACCGTCCACGCAGACCGGCAGATACCAAGCCGCCATCACCATCACGAATCACAATCGCGCATACCAATGGCGACGACCTGAATGGTTTGTTCTTCTTTGTATCTTCTACAGTTGACTCAGCATCCGCGTATGATGTAGTTGTGCAAGGAAGATCAAGTGTAAATGTAAGCGGAAAGGGTGGCCCCTACTGCGGAGGAGGTACAGCGTCTGACTTGCATCTGCGCAACCTTCCATATGAGATAACGCCAGAATGAGCAGGAACTAGACTTGGTATGACCTCAAAGCTTACCACGAGTCTTGTAGTCGATAGCATCCACCACTTTGCGAACAGACTGAAGAGACATCAGTGCAGACATTCCGTACAAGCTGATAAGCTGGTATTGTTGGAATGTATACGTGTAACTTTTGCGACAGCGGGAATGAGCCTTGGACCTTGACCAGCCCACTGTGTGCAAAATGCGTTCGCCTGTGTCCCACAACTACCACAGTCCCTTGATCTGCGATACACGTTGGGTAGGCTCAAATACCTCATTACTGTCCACCGTGTTCGTCTTTGACACACCACCACTGTCTGTGAATGTTGGGAAAGCTGCAGCGTCATTGTTGGCATTCGCGTCCCATCCTAGAGTCTCTTCCTTATCATAGTCAACCGGCGCCCAGGCTGCGTCCTCATCCTCCGGTACGAAGAGGCTTTCTGAATCGTCACGAGCAGGTTGTGCTTGCACCGCCGAGACTTGACGAGATCCTGGATTCCGCACTCGGCCAGAGGCATCGCGTCGTGATGCTGGTTGCACAGGCGGTGGCATGTCAGATCGAAAGCTGCGACTCTGTCCCCGCTCCCCAGTTGTAGTTGAGGCCGTGCGAGAGGTTTGCCTGCTGCTCATCGCGTGCGTCGCAGGTGTTGGCGCAGATGGAGCTGCCGTGTGGTTGCCCGAAGTCATTAGCGTAAATTCACAGAGCAGCCCATCGCACCCGTAGCTGAACTGGAGTGGTCGCGCTGGCTGGGAGTAAAAGGCCTTTAAGCTTGTCTTCATTGTGTCTGCATGGACGACTATTGCCTTGAAATCCTTGACGTTGATGATGATGTGCATACCCGCCTGCACGGTGAATTCCTCGAAGTCAGACGTGTTGACCGCGACTGCCGTGACAAGTGGGTGCTTCAGGATTTCCTTCCCGTTCGAGATCTTTTCTGTGTAGCTCTTAAATACGCAGCGTCCGTCTTCACTCGCAAAGATGTCGAGCATTTCGGTCTTGGTACCGAAGTATTCAGCGTACTCCTTCACAGCACCGGAGTGCATGCTCCACCTATTTTTCGCTATGTTGCGATCGAAAAGTGCATGCATGACGTCCACGGCTTCATATGTGAGCTTGTAGGTCTTGATGACGCCCTGGTTGCAGATCATCTTGACGATGAAGCGACATTGCGCCTCGGTTTCCCGCTCTTGCACGCTGACTTCACAGCGATCGATCGCACCATCACGCCCTAGCGGGTCGTGCAGGCGACTTTTGAAGACTGACAAGAGCGCTTTGGTGTACATACTGCACGTGAAGCGGCCATCAGGACCGCCATAAGTCGGCACACACTCATAACTGGCGAAGAATTGTCGACCGTCTAATGTGATGGCGGCGTATGCGGACTTGGAAGAGTTGAGAGCGGTAAATGTGAACTGACGCAGGACGTATGAGATGCCGGACTGACTAGAAGGAAGAGCGGCAAACCTACTTTTTCGCGACGCGCTTCAATGGCTACAGTCTCGCTGAACTTGCCGAGGCAAACAAGCAGGTCGTGAACCTTAGACGCTGCCTCGGGCGTCAGGGTGAATTTGAGGACAACCATTTTGTCTTCGTGCGACTGCTCGCATTGTCGCGGGGTGTTGGGGTGGCATCGCGAAGAGCCCCAGCGACCGAAAGCGGGAAAAGCGCGTCGAGCACGCGCTAGCGCATTGACATCATCGCGCCTACTCTCAAGGGCGGCCATCCATTCACCTCTCTTAGGAGCTCGATTTCAGCCCTCGTAAGCGCAAACAGAATGACTCAGTCAGCGCTTCCTGATGACATTCTGCATCTCCTATGCGAAGAGCTTGCGAATCAAGAACAGTTTGACACACTGTTCAACTGTGCTTGCGCCAGCCGTGCTCTCGCCGTACCTGCATTAACTCATCTGTACAAGTCTCATCATCTAGCTCCTGTTCGAGGTGGAGGAGAAGATCTCTATGGCTTACCGGCTGCAACCAAGCTGCTCACGATCCAAAAATGGTAGTAATACCCCATGTACGAAGTGGATGTGAGACATTTACTGACTTCGTACACGCATCTTTAGGTCCATACTTTGGCGATCAATTGTCGCATCTGCACTCAATGTCACTCTGTTCCCATACTGCCGTTATATCAAATCGCTAGACTTTCGCGATCTGGGATATCTCCTCGATGACGACCAATTCCGTGCAAAAGTATCCAAGTAAGCATAGCTTCAATCACGGACACCACCGGCTCTGACCGTAAAATAGGCAATTCTTCTCAGGACCGTTGAAGCAGTTCGAGAAAACTGAAACAGGGACGAACATCAAAGGCAGAAAGTATACGCGGATAAAGACAGCGGACATTATCGACGCGATTGGTGAAGGTTTGATAAATGCGCGAAGCTGTTCAATATGATATTAACGTGTAACAGTGGTCACACAGCATACTCCAACCCTGGAGATCATCAGCGGTGAACGCAAGTACATCCCTCCTCTCCAACATTGTATATGAGCTGACCATACTAGTCCAGCCTGGTGCTCTCGTACGATGGACGCCCCGACTGCCTCGACTACAGAGCCTTGAGCTGTGGGACGGGAAGCCGCTAGAAGAGGAACTGGTCCATGCGTCTATCTACGACCACTGTCCGCAGTTCAAATCTCTTATGATCTATACCTGGGTTTCAGAAGATAACGATCACAAATTCGCCAAATTCCTCTCCTCCATGCGACCGAACACGCTTCAAACACTCCAAACGATTAGCGACGTCAAGGCCGGCGCCGAGTCGTTATTAGCTCTGAATCACCATGGAAACTCGTTAGAGGATCTGAGACTGTGTGTTTCGAATGAGTCGATACCGCATCTCTCGCTACTTCAAGGATGTACAGCTTTAAGAACACTGCGCATTGAAGATATCCATGGTACCGTAGACCTGGAAGCGACGGAACATGACGTCTTTCTCGAGACAACGGCCTGGCTACGCAAATGCTCAGATCTGCAACGCCTCAGCTTCTCGAAAATGCAATCCGGGGCCGCACTCATCACGCCCGTGTTGCTCGAAGAGAAGATACAACTCAGCAGCCTGGAGATAGACTCGTACACGCTCAAAGATCACAAGACGTTCCACCAGGCTCTTGTACACCAGCAGTCTTCTTTACGGGTACTCTTTCTGAGTGGCGATACCGATGGCATGTTTCGAGACGACCTAGATATTCTCGTGGATTCTTTGAAACAATTAACAGAGCTGCGAGATCTGCACCTCATCCTTCCCGAGGTCCTGCGGGATGAACATCTCATCACCATTCTCGCTGAGCTCACACAGCTGGAGGATTTGTACGTAAGCGGCCTGGAGCTCAACGACATTGTACTTCCTCACCTAGCCAGCTTGCCAAACTTGCGCACCGTTACCATTTCCGGTATATCCAAATTCACCATGGACGGTCTCCTGGATTTTGTCTCGAGACTCGGCCCGGGTAATCAGGCCATTCGTCTCTCGATAGATATGGCAGACACGGATACGCTGCTCTCGGAAGAGGAGTTGACGCTGGTGAGGGATAATCTTGCGGAGAAGGCTGGTGGTACGTTGGAGTATATGGCACTTCGAGGTACGTATTCGCGCGATGAACAAGATGGCCTACTAACCATGTTCATCTAGATCCAAACGTTCCTGAATTCGAAAGCGACTCTGACTGAGGCCTATCTTTTGCACTGTTCAGGATACTGTAAGAGAATTTGAGCAGTCATTTAGCTCGTTCATTGGGTAAATGACGTGAAATATATTCCTGGCGAGCCAAGCGCATGGATAAGAATAGCTTGATGATAATAGACTTCTGATTTGGCCTTTCAACCCAAGAGAAAACAGAAGTCCACTTTGCTAACATGACTGAACTTTTTGAAAGCAAAACATCCACACCAGAAGAACAATCCGATCCCATGAACCATGTCATTTTCAGTCCATCTCAGTGTCACTATCCTCTTCTTCTTGATCAATGCGTTCTTCCAGCACCGGAATCCTTCGCTCGTAGACGTCTTTCTCCAGCTCTGGGAACTGTTGCAGGAGCTCAATAAAGCTTGATCTCAAGTGATCGTCCCCGAAATAAATCCACCAATTTTCCGCAATGTATACGGCCAAATAGTCCTTGAGATATCCCTGGGAGGTCGACGTTGTGTCTTGTGCATAAACATGTCGACAGAATACCAAGACTTCCAACATCTCCGGTTCTATGCCTTTCAGCTTCTCAGCGACATGTTCCATCATGTCCCACATCCCCAACTTCTCCGCGGTAATCCACGCCGCAACACATTGTGCAAAGGCTTCATTCGTTTCCTCACCCTCTTGCGGGTTCCGATGACCAAATCCATCACTTTCTAGGTATTCTGCAATGAACGTGAAGTCGTCCGGCTTGATGTCGACAAGCGCTTCATGCTTGAGCTCCCACATGCCGTCGTCGTTGTGGTCGATCAAAAGAAGGCCCTGCTTGGAATCTCTGAAGTACGGACGGTCCCACAGACTTGATTTTTGCAGCATGTGGACCTCTTGGTCAGGCCCGACCAATATTTGAACAAATTCCTTGCTTTCTGAACTAGATTCTGTTAGTTGAGAAGGTCTGAGAAGGTAATAGGAAACCCACAGTTCGCCATCAATGGTATCGCTGATTGGTTCTTTCCGACCACGCCCCACGTCACCAAGCTGATGGTCGAGAAATCCTCGTTGTTGAAACTGTCTCTGTCTTGATTCGACCGTTCTTACCTCTGTCGAGCTCTCGGCGCTGCTATCATCTGTCAAGTCTATAGGCGTATCTCTGCGCATATTCAACCGATCTTGTGGTGATGGTGCGGCCCGAAATTGTCCATGGTTTCTTGAGGGTTGCGATGAGCTGGTAACAGGCCTCGAAGATGTTTCAAATGAGCTCAAATTTGTACTTGGGACACTACCCGCGCCGGCGATGACAGTAACGCGACGACTGACCGGGAATTCTGCTGATCTTGGTGGTGGCAGGGATGAGGTCGGTGGATTTGAGGACCATTTCACATCTCGCCCTTTCGACCGTTTACCATAAAACTCTTCTCGGCTCAAACGGAGAGCCTGCTGAAGTTCTGGATCTGAGTGTGATTCTTCATCCGAGTCGTTCATATCAGTATCCAAATGTGAAGCGTCGCTGACTAGATTCATCAGTTGATTTCTCCAGTAGTTAAGATCCAATCCTGCCTCAAGGGCGTCGTTCGACAAGATATATGCATCAACTAGCCCGGGTGTGCTCTCGATAACCGCCGCATGCGTGTGGGACACGAAAGGGTCATATTCCCCTATGTCTTCGGCATGCGCCCAGCGACTTCTTGAGTTATTAGAGTCAAGATATTCATTAAGCTGCAATGCTTCTTACAAGACCAACTTCTCGCCCATCAGTAAAACTAGCTTTGGATTGCCATGAGGGCGAATTTCCCTGACTTCTTCTGGTGCCATATCATCTTCACAAATGACTGCCGGCCATAGTGGAAAGAACGATGCGGAAGTTCGGTACTGTATTAGGTCACCAGGGGAGAAACGCATTCTGGTCGCCCTGGTCATGCGATGAGGTCGTTTGGGTAGGGAGTGGTTGAGTTGAAATAGGGCTGTGATGAGCAGCAGTTGTCTAGCGGTTAGAGATTAAAGACTGATCTAATGGAAAGAGAAAGAGATGAGCAGAGTTATCAGGGTGCTTCAAAGCGAAGCTTGATACAAGTAGACATCGTGTGGATATGTTCTCAGGGTAAAGGCGGGCTCAGGTGAGGGCTACCATGCCAGGTGAAAGACGTGAATAGACCTTCACGAGCGACAGGCCCACCACAACCGTTTTCAGACCGTTACACGACGAAGCTGAGGCTTATGAGATATATTTCGCTATTTTAAAGTGTGTGTCATGGTGTTATAGTCAAGTAGCCACCTTATACAAGAAAAGAAATGAACAGGCCTAGAGCCTACATCAACGTTAGGTTACCTACTTTGCATGTTTTTATGTTAATGTAGTGTGCAGACCTATTTAGTTTTTTTCCTAGGTTGACGTGTAGCAGAAAGGGATGCGGAGTTCATAGCTCACTTCTCGGAGGTTGACTAAGCTGCCCGCAACAGCGAAGCCAAGGACATCTGGCTTCAACATCTCGACCACGGATTCCCCGACGCGCAAGTCGCCGCGCCGCCCACCTCTACACATACCCCCGAATACACGTGCGGTGAACTCATACTCTCAGGACGCGAGTTTACGACCCGGTCGCGCGCCCCACGTCCCACTTCACGATCAACGAACGCACCTCTACCTCCGACCTTCGCATCAGCATTCCCAATCCGCAGCCATGTTGGGCCTTGCGAACATGCAGCCGCGGCAACTCGCCGCACAAGTCCTGAACTTCGCGCTCGTCCTCTCAACCGCCTTCATGATGTGGAAAGGACTGTCCGTCGTCTCCGACTCGCCCTCACCCATTGTCGTCGTCCTGTCAGGATCTATGGAGCCTGCATTCCAACGAGGAGACCTGCTGTTCCTGTGGAACCGGGGGGCAGATACACAAGTGGGCGAGATTGTGGTGTACAACGTCAAGGGCAAAGACATCCCGATCGTGCATCGCGTTGTGAGGAGATATGGAGGAGGGTGAGTTGCGCTCTTTCCGCTGTGCTCTGACTGAGGTCTTCAACGAGGACCGGGGGGTTCAGAATCAGCTCGCCAGTTCTCACACGTTACCACAAAGCTCATGCTGACCCAATTGCTAGCAAAACACCCCTCCGCCTCCTGACCAAAGGCGACAACAACCTCGCAGACGACACCGAACTCTACGCCGCCGGCCAATCCTTCCTGAACCGCAAAGAAGATGTCATTGGAAGCGTCGTTGGCTTCATACCCTTTGTTGGATACGTTACCATTTTGCTGAGCGAGCATCCATGGCTGAAGCAGGTCATGTTAGGCATGATGGGTGTGATGGTGGTTTTACAAAGGGAATAGTACTTGCGCATTTGCATAGGGTGCTTTTCACGTTCGACTGATATCTTGGCAAAAGGTGGGCGAAAAACATACGTGGCAACGATGTGGTTGGTCTGCCCCATACCTACCATGATCTATGTGTTTCTGCTTTCAGGAGGCGGCAAAGCTAGGCGTTCAAATCATACCCAGACTATATTCAGTATTTGTCAAAGTCGAAAAGTTATACCGACCATCGAGCTTTCACCCAGCTACGTTCTCTAGACCGTATCACAGCGCCTGACACGCAATTTGCATTCACTAGTGAGCATACACATTTGGGATTTGGTTCCCAACAACGGACTGCAATCGCCTGCAACTTCCCGATGCCTGCAAGAGTGACATCATCTACCTTGCTTCTACATCACCAAATTATCATTCCCACGCGACACCCCCGGCAAAAACACCCCCACCTCCTGTACAGGAGCGGCAAAAAGAAAGCAATGCGCCGTACGGGGTTTGACTATATTACTGTTAGCCCTAGGATTCGAATTGATGCATTATTTGGAGACTGACACCCGTGATCCCCGCCTCCTTCATTTGCGAATGTACGATGGGAAGGCGATAGCATACCACTAGCCCAACGGCGCTTTGATGCAATGATCGATTGATGGACTAGGAGCGAATTAGAGATGTTATATAGGCAACTTGAGATAGATTGAGTGAACTGAGGAGGTGGGAATCGGGAAATTGTAATTGCGAAGCCAGGGAAACAACACCTACCGTGGATGCGGGCATCCGGTTCGGCGGTGTGAGGAGACGACGAAGAGGACTTGTCGCTAGAGGACCACTTGCTGTCTGCCGTAGATGGGAAGGGTCTATCATGCCGTCATGTCCTGACTTTGACAACAGACAAGACACAAGTGCCAACATCAGGGGCTCAGCTGGGACCTGAGCCACTATCAGCATGCACAGTGCTACACCCAGGCCTAATCGCATCAACATCACTGTCACACAGCAGAAGAAAGATGGTAGAAGCAGCAAAGACATTCCATACCGCAATTGCTAGTGTACATAGACTTGGTCATGAGCTTCGTGATGTTCCTTTCACGACGTCGAGGGTAAGACGCCCAAACATCATGACCGCCCGCTATCAGCGCGATTTGCACCGACCGCGGCCGTCCTTTTCGAAATGAACCACAGATTGGCTAGCCGAAGACCTTCCTCCGCAGGAGATGATGAACCCATTAAGAAGTAGCAAGATCACAAATGAAATTGAGAGAGGCTTGGTAGCCTAGGCCGCCCATGACAAGACATCTTCAACGCTGTTGGTGGAAGCACGAATGAGGCGGTGGCCTTTACTCGGACTCCTCTTCTTCTTCCTCGCCGGCCTAGTGGTGATTAGTCAAGCTGTCATCAACTCAAAGTGCATGCATGAACATACCTGGTAGGCGGCCTTCTCCTCCTCATAGCGCTTCTTGTCAGCAGCAGCCTTGGCCTCGTAGGGAGTGCGCTGCTTCTCGTTCAGGGCCTTCCACTTCTCGCCAAGAACCTTGCCGACCTCGCCTGTCCAATGTTAGAGGGGATGCAAAGATGGAGAAAGAGCGCAAACATACCGAACTTGATACCGGGGTTGTCCTCGCGGACCTTCTCACGCTGCTCGTTGGCGAAGAACATGTATGCGGAAAGACCACGCTTGGGCGCGTTGGGGTCTGCTGCAGTCAGTACCCGAGTCTGCGGATGCACGTGAGCTGCTTACCCTTCTTCTTCTTGCCGCCGTCAGCCTTGGACTTGGGCGCGGCCTTGCGGGTGGTCTTCTCCTTGGGCATGATGGTGGCTGAGTGGTGTGTATAGCTACGGTTCCTTGTTAGCTGCTAATTGCATTGCAAGCAGCGGGTAGTTAAGAGAAAGCGTGGCAGGAAGGCATGATGGCTGATGGTGAGATTGAGAATGCGAGTATAGGCCACAGCTAGTGTTTTCGCCTGCAAACAGAGTAGTGTTGTGAGTGGGTAATGGTGGTGCAGCGCTGCTATGCGCGTGAGGTGACGCGGTCGCAAAACACCACAACACAACGCGATGGTGCGCGATTTTCGGGTAAGAGAAGGTGTGGGTACTTACAGAAGCTGCTAGATGGGTGCAAATTGGAAGCGTTGACTGTGGTCTGTTTTGCGGTCAGTATGTGCGTGGTAGTGGGTGCTGGCGACGGCGATGAAGAATCGACTGAAGGCAATGACGTTCAGAAGATGGAAGAAAGAAGGCTGGGAGAGTCCTGGTTGGGGCAATTGGACCGGGGAAACGCGTGGAAAAAGGGTGTGGTTGCGAAAAGTGGTGCTGGTGATGTTGCGACTTCGTCAAAATGCAGGCGGACTCACCAAACGTCTTTGCGGGCGAAAGTTGTATGGGCGGCGGATTTGTTAGGGGAGGAATTGGGTGAGGGCTCAGCAGCACATTTTGTGAGAGGGAAGGCGCGCCCTCCCCCAACAACAAGGCCCGCTTACCTAAGGTGCGAACGAGGCAGGCACGCTTGTTTTGCTACTGCCATAGCACACGCACCCGGACCACGACCCCTCCTCCACCCAGCCGATGCTGCGCTCCCTCACCGCATGAGCTGGATGCGGACGCCAGCCACCGTGGACAGCTTCATCGTCGCTTCTCTGCTACTCGCACTGCAGTCCAGTCTCTAGCAGACGTGTCGGTGTTGCCCAGGTGTGGTCGGAGGTGCTCGCTCTGCTGCGGGCTACACGGCGCATCCCTGGGCGCGGAGGCGCTGCCCTTCGTTCTTTCCTGGCGAGTTTCAAGTTTGGTTAGATTGCACGCAGAAGCACACGGTCTACCATTCGTTGGACGCATCCATCAGAAGCGGCCCTTGACGTTATCATTCATAGCGCGGCTGGCTGATGTTCTTCCCCGAGCACCAAAGCACCCAGCATCCAGTCCCAGTCGCCCAACCTGCCCGCCCCTCAGAGCATCCGCCTGCAGCCAGTTTGATGTTCTGAGCAAGCCCAGCGCAGCAAAGTTACATGTCAGCCTACGTCTGGTCGCAGACTCTGCCGCACAAGCCGTGGCTCTGGCCTTCTGTCATAGCTGGGCACGCTATGGTGATGGGCGGCGGCCTCTGCACCCGCTTCCGGCCACAGCGGTCTGGCTATGCACACTCGCCCGACCGAGGACGGAAGCGGTCGCTAGGCTAACGCGAGACACTGCTCCAACGCTGCTCATCCACTTGCCTCAGAACACCCTTTGTTCCTCCTGCCTGCACATCACGTTGGAAACATGGCGGACGTGTTCGGCCATCGGCCTCTCCAACCCCCTAACAGCGGAGCAGACGCTCAGACTCGCCTCTTCAAAAGCCACCGAAGGCTACAGACTTTCGCGTACCCTCTCCGACGTGACCCAGAGCTGTCAGGCCTTCATCTTACTCGAGAAGTTACGTTTGCATCTATGTAGATAGAACGCACGACGTTGGGCATCATCGCTCTCGCATCAGCCATGACGTTCATCATCAACAAGCATCATGAAGCACAAGATCATGCAGCAGCATGCTACCACAGCAACAAATCATTATATGTGTACATACGGCTGCTCTCAGATACAGTTCGGTCCCATTCGTAGTCGCAGCAGTAGACGAAAGGGTGGATGGCACTCAATCGTCCTCATCCTCCATGACGAGCTCCGTCAGACCCTCGTCCGCAGCCCAGTTGATCCCGCTACCCACGATCATGGCTGATAATATACCTTTCAAGGTCGTAACCCTCCGTCGCGAGTCCTTGAGCTCCTTATCGACCGCATCGACTCGTTGACGTAATTGCGGATCTTCAATGTCCTGCACCGACTGCGCCTTCATTTCTTCGGCCAGAGCAAGCATGGTTTGCGCGAGCTCTCGGTTCTTTTGATTTGCGACAATATTGTTCTGTTCGGCCACACTCAGAGACTTATTTGCAGAAGCAAGCTTCGACGTCAGTGAGCCATGGACCATGCAAACAGCATCGTTCTCGGTCACCAGCGGCAGTATGCGCCTACACAACATCAGACCATGATTCAGAACGATCTGCCCAGGAACTCACTTCTCGGCGAATGGAGTCTGTTCGCCGCCATGAACAGCTTTCAGAACGGGGTCCATTACCAGCACGTTGTGTGTGATTTTGTTCCTTATCTCGTACTCTGCCCTCGCTTCCATAGCTTCGCGCTGCGCAATAGTCAGGCGCTCCTCCAGTAGGTCATCTGGAAGTGCTGAAAAGTCATGCGCGTGTACTACGGAACGTAATTAATATGTGGAGATGCTATGTCATACCATGTGCGAGACGTGCCTGATTGTTGTGCTTGTAGCAGGCTTTGCTGCAACTCAAGTTCCTTGAGCTGATCGTAGAGCTGTAGGGCTAGCTTCTCGGTATCTGAAAACGCGAACGCGCCGCTGTGGTTTGTTTGTAGCAAGTCCACGTAGTCGTTTGGATCTTGTGTTTTGGTTGTCGCGTCTGTCATGTCAACATCGCCTTTGGCCGCCATAATGCTAGCAGACGGCGTTGACGTAGATTCAAGTTTGCGACCGAGACCGTGTCCACCTGACGGCACGCGATGGTTCCCTCTAGATGACTGCTATGATGCAGCCTCGCGGGGCCCATGCGCCGATCCCTGCATTAACCCTCCTTGGCGGTATCTGGTACGCATGTGCTCACGCCCCAACTTTCCAAGCCTCGAATCCGCTCTTGCACGGTTTCGACACAACTCCACCAAGCGGGAGGGCAAGGCCGAATGTCGCTACAGATTGCTGTAGCTCATACGGGCCAGCGCCTCGACGCTGATCCTGTCGCCTTTACTTCAGTCGATGCGCTCAAGCACTGGATCTCGAGGGCAACCGAGATAGCGCCCGAGCAACAGGTCTTACTCACAACACAGGGCAAACACGTCAAGCTCCAAGCGCTCTTGACCGAGGTACGCGTCTACCGTGGGCTTTGTAGGACACACACTAATCCTTGTGCCACAGAAAGAGATATTCGTCTTCAGTCGCGAACTCTCCAACAACCCACAGGCTGCCATATCGTCCACACCACTGCCTGATGCCTTTCAACCCGACGATGCGCCGAACCACCTTGCGAAGAATACCGACCTCGGAGCATGGCAGGCCCTTTTCCAGGCCCGCCGTGACTGGGCCTTTGGCCTGCTCGAAAGATCGCTCTCCATGTCCCAGATCGCCTCGAAGCACTTTGCCGAACAAGCCACCATCGAAAGAGCGACGCAGGTCGCCGTCGGGAACCACGATGCGCACATCAAGGGCTTGGATCAGAAGTACAAGGCAGCGAGGGAATGGTACGATGGGGTCGAGAAGGAAGCCGGGGACAACATACGGCGGCTTGACGCCGACTTTGAGCAGCTGGGAACGGTGCCTGCCACCTTGAACTTCGCGCGCTTCTTGGCCAAGGAGATGAGATCTCCCCAGAGCATTCCCAGCAATACTCTTGTTCGCAAGACCCTCCAGGAATTCCTGGACGTGGATGCTATCAAAAAGGCTACATCAACAAGCAAGCGCGTTCGGGAGGCTTTTGGCAAACACATGGACAAAATGCGCATGCAGTTAGAGAATATCGAGACAGATTACAACCAACTCCTGAGCGCCGTCGGCCAAAGCCAGAGCCGTTCCATGGCTGATGACTCCGAAGAGCCCACGCGCCTGTACAACGAGATCGATGCCGTCGTTAAGAAGGTTGAGTCGGACTTTGAACATGTCATGGGGCTAGAAGCAAATCCGAAGTCGGTCGCGCAGGTGTCCAAAATGGCCTTGCTCCATACGCGAAACTTTCTACCAGCTATACAAGAATACAGCGTGGAGATGAGCGATCTCGTGCGACGAGCTGTAGAGCAGAAGAATGCTGCTATCAGAAACTCGGTCGAGAGCATGCAGGGTATTGCAAACATCGAGTCGGTCATTGCGAGCGTCGGTGCGCAACTTGAGCAGATCAGTATCCCAGATGATGGTGTCGCTGCCTTCGAGCTCATCTCCCTTGTCGGTCGGTTGCCTTATGTGTACGGTACACTGCTAGTCGAAGCCGTCCGAAGACGCGAGTGGACGGAAAGGATGGAAAAGGATACGTCCTCGCTTGCTGAGGAAATGGCAACATTCCAGGAAGAAGAAGAGCGTCGGCGCAAGCGATGGCTAAAGCCTATATCAGATGTTGTAAACCTCGAAGCTTTGCAAGGTGGCTCACTAGGGTTCGAGCTGAACGTACAACCTGAAAAGACCGTCTGGCCGATGGTCACTCGAGAAGAGCTCCAAGATTACCTCCAGGACTTGCAGAGACTGGATGGACAACAATCGGAGGCCGAGTTATTTGCCCAAGCTATTAAGGATCTTGACCGACCTACAAAACAGCAGATCAAACGCGCAAAGAACTTTAAGATGGGTAGTGTTCATGAGCCAGCTTTCGGCAGAGGCTCCCAGCTCATGATGCGAGGGGATGATGAGCTACGTATACTTAAAGAGGGCAATGCAAAGCTTGAGGATGAGCTGAAAGGCTACAGGAGCCGGGTGCGACGACTGGAGGATCTGGTACATCGCCAGAGTACTGCCAACAGACTCTCAATAGGAGGCGCGCCTCCCTCGTTCGGTATGCCCGACCCAGGCGACCCCGCGACACCAACAGCAGAAGTCGCTTCACCCAGACCCCAAGAAGAGTTATCTCGACGCTCCTCTATCTCTTCCAGGCGCTACTCCGCGAATACGGGCCAAGAAGACAAACGTCGTATTCTTCGCCTTGAACAACAGCTCGCGGCGGAGAAAGAGGCTCGGGCCAAACTCGAGAGTGATGCGCAAGCACGGAGAGACGAGGATGCAGATCAGCAACGCCAGTTTGAAGAGGCCATGTCAACCAAGAACAACATTATGGAAAATATGCGAGCGCAACAAAAAGAATTTGCAGACGAACGCAAATCACTCGAGGACGAGATCCGCGCGTGCAAGACCAAAATCGAAGAAGCCGAAGATGAGCTTGATCGCGTCCTAGGCAGTCGGGACAATGAGCGAACAGGTGTAGATGCTAGAGTCCAAGAGCTGGTTTCTCAACTCGAAGCAACCCGCAAAGAGGCTGCCGAGCATAGCAAACAAGCAGATAAGCGTATCGAAGCTCTTCAAGCGGAGCTCCGTGAGCGCTCGGCAATCAAGACGCAGGAGTTTGACTCGCTGACAGCGACGTTCAACCACCTGTCGCCCGGTGCCAACGTACCTGACGATCACGCTACGCTTGTCGCACAACTTGAAGATCTTGCAGTGCGATCACTCAACCACCAAAAAGAGCTAGAACAGGCTGTAGCAATGGCAAAGTCAGACAACGAAAATGCCCATGCTAGGATCGAAGAGCAAGAGCAAAACTTCAACGCCAAGCTTGCCGAACACGAGAAGGAAGTGGCGGCTGTCCGCGAAGAGCTTGATGTGGAGAAGGCCCGCGTCACTTCTATCACTGCAGAACTTGAAGAGGAACGAGAGCACCTACACAGCCTTCGCGCCAAATTTGCTGAAGGCGAGACCGGCTCCGAAGCTCTGCGGAAGCGCGTTGAGGAAGAAGAGACCAAGGTTGGTCGTCTTCAAACCGAGCTCGCAGAAAAGAGCTCGCATGCCAACAGCCTCGATGTCGAGCTTATGCGCGTAGAGAAGAAACTACGCAAGCTTGAGGAAGCGGACTCGTCCCGTACCCACCAACGTATGCATCGTGCGAAAGACCTTAGTCAACGGCTATACACACAGCATGAGCGTCTGATCCGTCTAGTCGAGACACTTGGATTCGTCATCACTCATGAGAACGGGGAAATGATCCTCCAGCGAGCGTCTAGACTTGGTAATAGCACCATCATGACGGACACTAGTGCAGGACTTAGTCGGAGTACAACAACACCCTCGCCCACTCCCCTCAAGCGTTTCTTGGAGGACGTCGGAGATCTCCACTTCCTTCAATGGACAGAATCTACAAGCCCAGAGGAAGAAGATCAGCGGTACCAGGAACTTATCCAGAAGCTCGAGCTCTTCAACACCGAAACCTTTAGCGACGCTGTTGCGAAGCGGATGCGTGACATGGAGCACACTGCACGAAAGTGGCAGAAAGAAGCCCGAGCATATCGCGACAAGGCCCATCGCTTCCAGGCTGACTCGCACGACAAGATCGCCTATCGCTCCTTCAAAGAAGGTGACCTTGCACTCTTCTTGCCGACCCGCAACAATGCGCATCGCCCTTGGGCTGCCTTCAACGTCGGAGCACCACATTTCTTCCTTCGTGAGCAAGACACGCATAGATTGGGTGGGAAAGAGTGGCTTGTGGCGCGCATCTCAAAGGTGGAGGAGCGCGTTGTCGACCTTTCCAAGACGATGGATGGTGCAACTCGAGCATCGTTAGATGGTCGATCTGTCGCTTCTAGCAATGCCATTTCATTCGAAGACGATAATCCTTTCGATCTATCTGATGGACTAAGATGGTACCTTCTGGAGGCAACTGAAGAGAAGGCGATGGCTCCAGGCACCCCAGGTATCAAAGGTGCAGTCACGGTGAAGAGCAGCCTGGAAACCGGACTGGGCGAGATGCAGAAAGCTAAGAAGAAGTCCTCCATGGACCCGGCAACTCAACTTGGGAAATCACTCGACAGTCGCCGCAGTAGCGGAACAAGCAAGAAGAGCGCGCCCCTAGTCGGCCGTCACAATTCGGCTGAGGCGCTCTCGCCAGCTGAACGTCCCGACTCGAACCCAAACTCTGCGACAGCAACACGGGGCGCGAGTCCAGCTGGCACACATGGTCCTAGCCATCTCAGGGAGTCGTCAACGAACGGCGTAGACAAGTCTGCGGACGATGGAAATGGAGGCAATGTGCGCGACCTACTATGGGGACCTTAGGTTTTCGCTTTCTGTAAATCTAAGCTCCCCGAACCATAACCTTTGCTTACATTGCTAACACTACGCAGTCATCCATCGCGCAGCTCCAGTCTCTGCGCAAAAGCTCCATATCAGGTCCATCGAATCCACGATCAGATACGTCCCCAGTCAAGAGCAGACTCGGAAGTCAAGGCGATCTGAGGAGTCCTCTGAGTGACTCTCGAAAGTCGCCGCTCGCGAGGAAGGGAAGCATATGGGATTCGTTTTTCCAGTACGACATTGAGTATCAGGGCAAAGCATCGAAAAAATAGACTTTTCTGAGGCGGTCGGAGAACGCTTGTGTATACCATCCTGAGTGCGAGCATCATCGCATTCGCTGAACATATCCGCTGGCTCATTGTACATTAAATAGGATCGCACACATGATCAAAGAAGAAGCAGGCTTGCTGAGGTATGTGCTCTGATATTATATCCTACAATAGATATAAGTAATATTGGACCAGCATCTTAAAACTCCATTAGGAAGGCTGAGGATGATTTCACGTCGTAACACATCCAGGTCTTCCCCCGTCTTTCGTTGCGGCTGTCGCTTATTCGGATCTCGGCTGCTGGCGTTCTCTTCTAGTGTACTCGAAACAGCAACATTGATGCAGATCCTGCCTACGTTGGTTCCGGAAGAAGGCAGCGCATGCTTTTGTATGGCTGGTTTGTAGGTTACATTTTACAAGCGATGCCGAATTCTTGGTTCAGTGTGTATGTTTGGTGTCGTGGTTTCATCTGCCGAAGACTCTGTTGTGAATGTGCAGGATGCCTAAGGCCACCACGGCAAAGCGGATGTGATGTCATGATGTTATACTGGGGGCCTTGGTTGAATATAGCAAAGTGATGATGGCTGGATGTGTATAAAGAACGAGGCGGCCAACCTGACTGCTACGGCTGTACAGTCTGCGGACAGCCCAACAAGTTCTCCACGACGTCCATCTGACATGCTTCCTCCTACTAGACACTCGGTCCTGGCTTCTGTGCTAGCCACGATAGCGTACGCACAATCATCTTCTGGCTCCGACCCCGTGTCTTTGACATGCGATGATCTCTCCGATGGCCTCGCATACAATGCCTCCGTCACCCACAACACAACGGCCCTAACTCTCACCTACCTCGGATCCGATTCAGAGCCGTTGATGCGCGAAGACGATGGAACTAGTTGGCAGATCTCATCTTACATCGGCCCTTACACCGGAATGGGGGATGAGTACGGTGAGAACGACACTCAAGCCGTTCTATGGCTCGACATTGGTGAATCAGACATGGAGCGTTTGGGCAATCGGATGGGTTTCTGCCAAAACTATGTTCCGTTGCAGAACCAGACCAACGGAAACTTAACGTGGAGTAGAGAAGTTTTGGAGAGGGCGCAAGATGATAATGGGGATTGCAAGACGATGCTAGGAGAAGAGTGTGTGCAAGCGCTTCAGACTTGGTACTCAGGTCAAGCTTTCGGCCTATGGAGCACCCAGGAGTGCTCCAGTATTGACCATACCATACCTTCCGAGTGTGAAGGTATGTTGACCGAGGCTGTGACAATGGGTGAGTTCTGTATCTGTGACAACGAAGAGGCGATATGTTGAACTGACCGCGCCCGTAGATACCGCACCCTTCAATGCCTCTGCTCAATTCCGAATCTCGGACTGGTTCCCGTATACCGACGCCTACGATGAGAACGTTGCTGCACCTACGTGCGGCGACCGCAATCTGAGCAGCAGCTGGGGTAACAGGATCGATACTACGACCGACTATGATGTGGCACTCAACTTTCCCATTGTGAATATATTAACCCTCTATCCCATAACTCCTGTCACCAACCCATCTTCAACCCGCGCGGCCGATGTAAAAGTTGTGTGTTTGAAACCCGGCAATGTACAGGACGGAAGTCGGGCTCCGAGAAGTGCGAAAGAGGTGCTTGACGAGAAGTACGGTTCACAGGATGGAGAAGATTCCCCGGATGATGAGTCTAGTGCCGAGAGAACCTTTGGATCGGGTAGCAGGGCTATACTGGCATCAACAGTTGGCACGGTGGTGGGCGTCTGGCTCGGCCTGTAAAGTGACCAAACGCTTTAGTCGATGGAGCCCATGTTCGAGAATCAAGCATGTTCAAATTTCGACCGTCATCGATCAGTGTACAGCAACATCGGAAGGATCGGGTGTGATGATCATGTAGAACTGTGGCACACCGCGAAAAGTAGACCTCCACTTTTGGACTAAACCCCTCGCTACTTCTCCACAGACACCGGACGAAGCAGCCACACCACAGCTGGGGAGTGACGCTAAGTCGTAGCCAAGCGGTGAGCTTACTCTTTACGGCTTTCAATCGGCATGTGATTGTGGCTTGACAGTCACATTACTGCCGAATGCCCTTGTTCGTAGTGAAAGAAGAAACTGTTAGGATAGAGAGCATGGCTTGTCATTTGTGTGACGAGACTTCATCAATGTAGTGGAATTGTAGTCTCATGTGCTAGCGCTGCCTATGTGCGTCACTAGAATTACGTCGCACTGGAGGTAGCTAGGAAGTGTGAGTACTTCCTTTGGGCAGAAAGGTTCGCGAGACTTGCCAAAGCGAAAGTACCCGGGACTTCCATAGGATTTAGTAAGGCAAGCAGAGCCTATGTAAGAGGGTTGTGCCTTGACTCGGCATTGGCGGATCTGCCACCTTTCGTGGGTATGGGGAATACCCAGTCATTGAGGTCGTCATTGACTGCTTCCTAACACCTTAGATAGATGCGCTGATACATGAACTGGAATCGACTTGCAAGCTCGTGGTGTTCATTGTTAAAACTTACCCATGATTGCTTCCTGATCCCTACATAGAGCGGGTCCGAACGAGAAGTGAACACTGCCGGTCTCAGTCATGCTTAGGATGCATGAGGACATTGTCAACCCTAGAAATCGTCATTCGAAGTCAAACTGGCACTGCGACAGCGCCGAGCAGGAATGCATCAGACTCCGTCACGATCCGACTCAAGTCATACTATCTGTGTCGCGTGGCTTGTGTCTCTATGCTGGCACCCGTGCCATGTGCGCTGGAACCGCCAACAGGATCGCCAACACCATGGAGTCGTGGTGAAAGCTTGGGATGGTGTCATAACCACGGGTTTGGAACCGTTGTTGTCTTGCTGGGCCTGTGACAGTTACACAATAGCCTGGGCAGACGCTTGTCAAGCATTTGCGATAGGTCAAGAAATGCCTCGCAATTGCGGAAGCACTATTTGGCTAAGCAGAACGTGTGGCGCAATTTTGGTAGCTTGTGTATGGGCCTGGGATAATACCAGACCGCGTGATACTAGGCGGATGTTGGAGTCGGTCATGAAGCGGGGTCGTGTGTGGACGAAGATCGAACCTGAGCCAAGCCGGGGCCAAGAGAATTAGCTGGTGCCAAGGGATGTGAGAGACGCGTGAGAGGAGCGGAGCGAATCGCGAGGCGAGCTGATGCATAAAGGCGTTGAGGCTGTGCTGGTGGGCCGATTGCGATTAGGGCGCTCCTGTCATGGGTTCTGACACACTGACAATTTAGCTCTGATCTGGCGTTCCTGTGAATTCCCATCCCCTTGGGCGGCATGTAATATGAGTGCCTGAATTCATTCGGGTAGCTGAAGTTTTCAAAGGCCCGTGGGCGGGGGGATAGATGAAGGGATGAAGATCAACCGACAGGGCTGATGTGTTAGCGCGCTGCGCTGCGCTGCGTAACGGGTATCCTGCTGCATACGGGATTTGTCTGATTGATCGCACTATCGGAGGCTTGCTACTATGCACCCACGGCCAGGATGCTGCTGTGCAGCCTGTGATAGAGCATGTCTTACCGGAGAGCTGCATGTGTAGCCGCCTTTCCAGTCAATCACGATGCACGCGAGCGGCATCCTAGCATGGGGCCATTGTTGACGTCTGTGTTACACACCGTGGTAAGAGTCCGAGATAAGTGCCGTGTACTGTGTGGTTGCTTCTTTGCATAAACAGCTGATTTCGGGCTGCAGGGCGGGAGAACGCGGCACTTGCTAAAGCGAAGCGAGGGGACTTTTGCTTCGCAAAGCACAGTGTCGACTTGACGGGTTTGATTGCGATCTGGCGATGACGGGTGAAAAATCGCTGCGGAAAGTGGAGTACATGAGAGACCACGAGGCATGACTTCATCTGAAGTGCATTCTGGCCATGCCTGTACAGGCGATGCGCATGTCCACCCGCAGGCGCTGGACCTGGGATTCAATATGTTCCGCTCGCTACCGGTCCGATAGCCTTGGAAGTCTCCATAGTGTAGCACAGAACAGCGAAACTTTGGGCATGGAAGGCAGGAGACGGTTTTTGGCAAAATAGCAAACCCCTTGTCGTGGCGCTGATTAGTAGAGCGTCTGAGCGCCGTCGTGTCAGGGCAGATTTCTATGATTGTCATTGTCGCACGGTATGGGACAGGGGTCCAGCGCCAATGGGTTTCGACACGCTGCGTGGTGAAGGCTTTGGAAGGGCCCTCATGGCGGACGGCGCACCTTGTTATCTGAGAGCGGTGAGAGTCGATAGCACACGAATCCAGCAGCCTGGCACGGATCTGCTTGCAAACTCTCTTGGTCCGCCGTTAGTGCAAAAGCCCGCGTTTGTGTCCCGGTGCCGCGACGGACATGAAGGAGTCGCCTTGTTTGGCATCACGGGCGTTGCTAGGCTTGGGCACACCTGGTCAATCCTCTGCGCGCTAGAAGTTGGAACCCTCGACCCCTGCCGCCTCCGCCGCCCAGCAGAGTGGTCCGTTGTGTTAAATACTATGGCGTCTCCCTAGCAGTCCACGTCGTCGTACCATTCCAAGGTTTACTCAGAAACACCAGCTACCAGCTACCAGCTACCAGCTACCAGCTAGATCAGCCTGACCTGATCATCTCCCTGCCGCAGCTGCCCTGACTCATCGCTCTGCTGCCCTGCTCGTCCGTCCCCTCGCTGTAGTAAGCAACCTTACCAAGCCGCCGGCACCGACCCCATCGTCATTCCACCAAGTTCCGGCCTGGGCTGAGTCTACATAACACCGTTGCTTTTCGCCGCACCTGTCGTCCCCCATCGCGCTTGCCCGCTCTAAACTCCGCCGCACTTGTCGTTCCCCGCCCGCCATACCCTAAACAAGTAGGTAAGGGGTGATCGACCACGCGCGTCCCAATCAGCCATCAAACCTTGGCGCACGGCATCCTACACTGTCAATCTCCACTCCACGGCCCTCCTGCCCTTATAATCGGACCCGCCGCTTTCTGGACATCATCACTGTCTCCATCTACGCCAGCACTCTACCACTACCGTCTTCACTGCCATCTATCCACTAGTGGCCACTAGCGTCTACCCCAGATTGCCACCCGTCTTGACCTCGTGACTGCATTCCGCCCGTCACCTCCAGGACCGACACCACGTCTCCCACCACGACGTCGCCATCATCCGCAACGTTTCCCGGCAGCACACCCCGAAAACAAATATACCTCGACATCACTTGAAAACACTACCATGTGCGTCGCCGAACTCTGCGTCACGGTCCTCCCGTGCCAGCACCGCTGGTACCACCTGGTTCGCCCTTGCAGCCCCTCCAGCAACCTCTCCACATGCGGCAAGAAGTTGGGAATCTCCGGATGGGAAGTCAAGTGCGACCACTGCCCCTACTGCCACGGCCACGTCTCCGAGTTTGAGTACAAGCTCATCGGCGACGGACCAGCGCCGCCAGTCGGATCTCTCTCAGGCCTCGCACGCGCACACTCGACGTCTCTGAACGCAGCCCGCCGGGACATCCGCCTCGACAACATCACCCGAACCGACAGTGCTACCAGCGTAGGCAGCAAGAGCAGCTTGGTCACAGCCGCCTCTGAGAAGAACCGCGCAATGAACTCTCGACTCGACGCCTACTTCTTCCCCTCGGCTGACCAGCCCTACCCTGCTGTACGAGAAGACGACGCCGAGAGCAGCAGCGCGACCAGCCCAAGCGACACATCAAGCAACGACCGCGCAAGCATGCGACACTCGTCCATCTCCATGTCGGCTGAGCCCTACAAAGCCAATATGCTCTCGCGTGTCCGGCAACGCACCAAGCGCATCTCCACCATCTTCAGATGAAGGGACCGTCGGCATTGCGCTTTCCTTAGCCACGTCAGTACCTACACAACCCACTTCTCAACTCTTCGTAGTTCGCATCGCGTCCGAGTCTAGGCTGTGGCTGAAGTGAGGAGTCGCTTCCCCATTGATCCACTTAGCCACGTTTTCCTCGGCCCGAACGGAAATCACATGCCATCATCATGCACTCCGCGGGCCGTGCAGGCCATCAGCCACACTTGTCTGGTCTCTTGAGCCGAACCTCTCAACTCCTCACGACGACTGCCGAAACTCCACTCTTCACTTCATGTATCTGTTTTCTACCTCGCCTAGCGCGCTTTGGCCTGTTTCTCTCATCTCTCTTTTACTTCGGATACCCACACTGCTCTTGCATTCTGCGCACGCGAACGTGCCCCGGCGACGGGTACTCTTGCGCACTCATTTCGGCCGCGGCGTTCTCACGTAAAAAACGACAGGGAGTACTTCAGGCGAACACGAAGAGGGCAAGGGCAACCTGCGTTTACTTCCATTTTGGTTCGGAGTTACTAGGGTTGTTTGGCGTTGGGCAGCAAAACGTTTGTGCGTCATAAGCGGCAGGCGCTTCGTCGCTTTCTTTCTCGCTTGTTGTTGCTATGACTTACGAATGACTCAAGAGTGTTCTAGAAGCTAGTTTGTTACAAAACTCATACATGTTTGCAAACAATTACGTGCATCGCGCATTTACCCATCCTTCGAGTGTTGCAAGTGTTCTAAGCACCCTTGCTGACGGATGCTACAAGATTGCCCGCCACACCCATGCATGGTTACGAATCTGTGCCACACCTGCGTGCCACACTTCCGCTCCAATGCAGGTGCTTCGCAAAGCAATCTAGACTTTGCGCTCTGGCACGTACAGACGCGTCACCGCTGCTTGGAGCTACGCGATATCGATACCCACCAGCGCATGCAGGCATGTACACTAAGTGCACCATGACACCCTTCCATTCCGCCAAGCCATGCAGGCATATACTATTACACCGTATATTCCGCTCTGTCCGCCAAGCTAACCATTTTCTCCCCACCAAGATGGAGAAAAAGCGAGCTTTTCGTTGTCGTGGCCAAAATCTCGATTTCCGTCGGTGAAGGATCCCTTTCTCGCCGAATGTCGTGTCCAAGCTCTAGTGACACGTGCATGGACAATGTCACAAAGTTTGTTGTCGACTCGAAGTCTGGTTTGCGCCATGAGTAACGTCTGCAGATCTTCAGCTGCCGGCTAACTCCATGAACCCTATGGAATGTGAAGGGAAATAAACCTGCCCCAAGAGGAACAAGCACACCAAGCCTGAGATCAGCGTGCTTGGTCTTCTCGTGCTGCAGGGCGATCGATGGTTTGCGTGATAAATATCATCATCGCGCTTTGAAGATCTGCTGCCATTCACGGTTTTACTTACTTCACAGACGCAGTCATATGCCTCATTCTAGAGGAATCCGCCTCGACATTGTGGTACACTTGCGATCATATGACTACAATTCTGTCCAAGGACTATAGTAAGTGGGGAGTATCAGGCGTGAAGATCAGCAAAGCCGTAACGACAAAGCCAAAGAAACATCGCATCACACTTGATCAATTTCAACAGCTGTACCGCACGCGCAAGAGATAGCAGGACCTGTATCTGACGCACGACACGCGGGGACATCGTGCACAGCCTCTACGCCAACGTCACACATTGACAAGCCTTCAGTATCACCACATAAGCTTTGCACCAGTGTCGCGAAACAAGCAATTTGGCAGATCAAGCAATTGAAGTCCAGAGATCAACCTGCCAGCTGGAAGGTTCATCACTGCACATCACTCTCGCCGAGTGAGGGGTTCGCAGCAAGGGAAAGTGTCGGTTGGGTTTTGATCGGCAGAGAAATAAAGTTCGGCATCAACGGGGAACGACGATCATGACGCTCGGTGCAACGCAAAAGCATAGGAAACCAGAGGCTGCGGTTCCAACGTACAACCGGCAAGACGACTGCTAGTGTGCGTTGGCGTGGTGTACGAGGTTACTGTAGCAGTTCTGGGTAGGTAGGCTCTGTGGTAGCAACGGATCATTGTATTCTTTTTTTTAGTCCACATGAAGACTGCTCAGTGTAGTAACCGGAGTACCTTTACCAGGTCCGCGGTGACACCCATCGCAGTGACATCGCCGCCAGCACCAGCACCTTGGATGATGAGCGGGTTGTCGCCATATCGCTTCGTGTAGAATGCGATAATGTTGTCGCTTCCCTTGAGTGCTGCAATGGGATGGCTTGTCTCAAATTTCTCCAGCCCAACCTTGACCTTGTTGTTTGGTACATCTACGCTTCCTACAAATCGGATCACCTTGCCCTCCTTCTCTGCCTCTGCTTTTAGCTTCTCCATTTGGTCGTCGTACTGTGGGAGCTTCTCGAGGAACTCGTCGCCGGATGAGCAGGATTCGAGCTCCTTGGGAATAAGAGACTGAACGGGGAATGATGTTGGCGATTCGACCTTGAGGCCAGCCAGACGGGCGAGAATGGTGAGCTTGCGGGCGACGTCGAGCCCATTCAGATCGTCGCGAGCGTCGGGCTCAGTGTAGCCCTTTTCTTTGGCCGATGTGACCTCAGCTGAGAACTTTCCGCCTCCACCGCCGAGAGGCTGGAAGGAGTTGAAAAGGAAACTCATGGTTCCGCTGAAAACACCCTCAATCTTTGTGACTTCGTCTCCAGTCTCGACCAGGTCCTTCAGTGTGGAGATAACAGGCAGTCCCGCGCCGACTGACGACTCGTGGAAGATATAGCCACCAGCACCATTTCCGTTGCTCGCAGCGTCAAAGATCTGTGTCCACAAGCCATAGCTTCCTGAGAAGGCTTTCTTGTTTGGCGTTACAATACTGATTCCCTTCTTCAAGAAAGCAGGGTAGCTGTCCGCTACATCCTGATTGCTGGTGTTGTCGACCAGCACCACCTTGCCAGGCGCTTTCTGTAGGTATTCGCAGAGTTGTGGGAGCGGCAATGTGGGGTTGGAAGTGTTTTGAAGCTCGGATTCCCAGTTGGAGAGAGATTTGTAGTCGGCATGGTAGACAGCTTTCTTGGAGGTGCTGAGCCAGATGAGAGAGAGATAGTACGGCGACGAGGGCGATTGGGAGAGACGTTTAGAGAGGGCTGATAGTTGGGAAAGGAAGGCTTTGCCCACGCCGCCAGCACCTGTAATCGTTAGTAAAAAGTATGTATGTGGGAAGATTGTTGCGCGTACCGATAACGGCGATGAATACTTGACGAGGTAGAGGCATGATTGTTTGTTGTAGTCAATTGAATGTGTGAAACTTTATGCTGAGGACGTGAAGGTTGACTCAACTCTCAGGACACAACGGGAAGATACCCAGACTTGAACAGAGAAAGACTGCGGCTCGCGGAAAGCGCGGTGCGGCTCTCAAAGGTACTGCGATGTGGGGTTAGTGAATCAATTGTTACTTAGGTGGGGTAGCTGCTGAGGTTAGTGACGCAACAAGCTCAGAGCTCCGAACATCGCCGCCGCGCCTACGCGCTCAGGACGCGACTGCCACCACCCAGACCGATTCTCATCTCCAACCCCACCATGTCCTCCAAAGACGCCCATCTCTACGGCGTGCGGCCCAAGGGACGCGCAAAGGCGAAAGAAATCTCCAGCTCGAGCAGTCTCGCCTTCTCCTCGACCCTCTCCAACCTCATCAAGAACTCTTCCACGGAACCGAACAAGCCGACCGCGGGCCGCGCACGACCACAGAAGGAAGACATCTTCAAGACACACAACAAGAATGTCAAGAAGCGCGCATTGAAGGACCTGGAAGACACCGACTTTACACAGAAGCACCGCGGGCGCACAACCGAGGAAAAGGGCGAAGATGAAGTCGCATGGAAGCGCACAAAGCGGCGCATGGAAGAAAAGGCACGCCTCTACGATGCCCTGAAGCGCGGCGATGTAGAAGATCTGGACGACAAATACGGCGTAGACTTTGACCGCAAATGGGCTGAGCAACAAGAAAAGGGCGGGGCAGAACAGGTCAGCTCATCCGAGTCGGAAGAGGAGGAGGAGGAGGAACTCGTAGAATACACGGATGAGTTTGGGCGAACACGAAAGGGCACACGCGCAGAAGCTGCCCGCGAAGAGCGTCGAAAGCGCACCCTTGCCGCTGACGAACCCGACCGCTTCACCGCGCGACCCAGCATGCCCACCGACATAATCTTCGGCGACACTGTACAAACACACGCCTTCAACCCCGATGAGACCATCGCCCAGCAAATGGCTGAACTAGCCGCCAAGCGCGACAAAGAACTCACGCCACCACCCGAGGTACACTTTGACGGCAGAGCCGAGGTCAGGCAGCGTGGCATGGGCTTCTTCAACTTCTCCAAGGACGAGGAGGAACGACAGGAACAGATGAGGCGGATTGAGAAGGACAGGGAAGATACTGAGCGCGTGAGGCAGGAGCGCAAAGAGGCCGTGGAGAAGAGAAAGGCCATGGTCAGAGAAAAGAAGAGGGCTATACAGGAGAAGAGAAGTAAAGGGCAGGCGGAGAAGTTCTTGGAAGAGCTGGGCCAGGAGCTGTTCAAGGAGGGAGAGAATGAAGCGGAGGATAAATCGACCGTCGCAGATGAGGGCAAAGACGCTGTGTGAGCCGGAGTCTTGCCATTTCACATTCTACTATGATACCCCAATACGAAGCATATCGTTCTATTCATATTAATGTTTGCGGTCCAAGAGCTTTCCTGAATAAACAGTATTGAGTTTCGAGAAGTGAATAGAATGCCTCTACTAGGATATTTCTGAACAACCTTCTGTATTAACAGAGTGCGAGCCCGAAACTATTACACTGTCTTTTAAGTGATAATGTAATCAGCCTAGGAATTTATAGACTCAAGTTTCTAACTTTAATAATCTTCTTTTTATTTGTTTACTTCTGAACGAAATAATAGCTATGCATGAATAGAAGCTACATACAGGCTGCTTTGCAAGCGGTATCTTAAAAAAGTACGTGAAACACCCAGAATAACAGCGTTTGCAGTCGCCGCCGCTGATCCTGATCAAACATAGTCTGGTGCCGTCCAACTAGGTCTCCAAATTTTTCTGGTATCGATGCCTCAAGTTCCCTGCGCAACCTCTCCTTCTCTTGATCTCCGTGGAGTCTTCTCTTGTCCTCTTTCGACCGAGTACCCTCAAGTTGAGCTTGCCCCTTCTGGACAGCAAAGGTCTTGTACGTCTCGATGTACAGGCCATACACGGCGGCGAGCTCCGGTCGGTCAAGCCACATCAGGGCCTCATCCACGTTCATCTCATTTGCCTTGATCATAGCTCTCGCGTTCGGCGAGAAGTTTCGACCTCACTTTCCCATCATCACGTCTTTCACTGCTTCGAACGCCTGAGGACCTACACAAGGCAGATTGATGTGTTTCGCAAGGGCACTGCCTCCTGTATTACGTTGGTGCTAGTACAAACAGAAAAGAAAGGGAGATGTTACCGTCAAAGATTGCCTGCTTTGGGATTAACGTCCCCGATGCCATATTGAACTCGTAGTTGCAGCTGCTGAGGAGCCCCTGCATGTTGACTTACTTGTACAAGATTGGCAGTGAACAATACTGCATAGGTAGAGGTACGAATTTAGTATATGTCTCATCTGCACGTCGTACAGTCAGAACTTACCTTGCTGCGGCGAAAGAGTGATAGAGAAAAGTTGATCATCTCCATCAGCACCTTCGTCAGTGCCGTCTTTGGTGCCGTCGTCGATGTCGTCGTCGAGGTTGTTATCGTCTCTGCCGTCTTTGATCTCGCTATCGCTGTCAGAAGAGCGCCTCCTCTTTTTACCCATGCGGTTTGCTAGCTAGGATAGGTTTGCTGACTGGGATAGGTTTGCTGATTGGGATAGCGAGATGGTGTTTCGAGAAAGGCAGCGGTAAAGGAGATGGTTGTCCATCCTGTCCTTGGTCAAAAAGGCGAGGTTGCAATCCAGACATCTGTATCCTGTTTCGGCCGCTGGATCGAGGTTTGGCACATAGGCATTCTGACAATGCTGCAGCATCTCGCTGTCGCTAGGGAAGACCTTGTCACAGATTGGGCAGTCGACTGTGAGTGTCATGTCCATAACCCAATATGTACTTGATGGTCTTCAAGAGAGTCGTGAACCTCACACAAGGAAAAGACTGACCACTCTGGAGCCTACATCGACGCCAGATATTTCGATTTGCTTGTTTTGTCATAGTGTAGTCTGCAGACCTGCTCAGTTTCTTTCCTTATCCGAGGTGGTGGTGTCAAAGGCTTGTTGTGGGGAGAGAGACACTAGTTACGAGTTCCTATCATCATCCTGCCGCTGCTATTCCGATAGCTGATGGTACAACGTCATCAACATGTTTTCGTACACTGGTCTATCAGCAGTATGAAGGATTGGTAGGATCTGTTCGACCTGTTTGACCATCTCAGTGTTGTGGGTGGGCTGCATACGCTGGCGCTGTGTCGCGTCGGGCTTGGGTCCTTTTGCAGGGCATCGGAAGCGGTCATGACTGTCCTTCTTTCCCTTATTCGAGAATGTTCTATCCCAATCGGCCCACCTGTAGAGGGGAGTGAAACCTAAATTGCCATGTAGGTCGGTCGTTTGGGGCGATACTTAGTCCATGTATAATCTCGCAGTGCGCCTCCATAGTGACTTTGGTGTAGAATGTCTCTGGACAAATGGGACAGTCGATCGTTGGACTCAAAGCACCATTGTGACGGAGTTCATGCCTAATTAGTCGGCTCTTACTAGTGTATCTGTTGCTACACGTGGAGCAGACGAACGGAGTGAGGGCTGGGCTGCCCTTTGGGATGACTGGGGGGCTGGAGCCTGGATGCTTGCGAGAATAATGGCCCTTCAGGTCATACTGAGAGCCACAGAATTCGTTACAGATGTGACAAAAGTGCCCAACCGTTGGTGGCTCATCGGGATTGGCGTGTTCAGTAGCCTGATGGTTTTTTAGACTGTCATGAGAACACCAGCTTTTGCCGCACGTTGCGCATTTCCATTTCTGTGCCAACTTCGCTGCATCATACTCCAGCTTCCTTCATTTTTGTGTGCGTTCCTTGGCGTGGAGAGCCTCGTGCATTTTCATGTTTTGTATAGAACTGTAGTCTTTGTGACAGGTGGAACATGTCTATTCCTTTGCTGTCATAGTTGCAGAATGGCGAGGTCGACCTAGAGCTTCGTAGTAAGGTAGTCGGAGGTAGAAAGGACGATCTGAAGTGCCCAGCGCAGTAGTAAAGTGCAGGTATGCTCAGGCGATGTTGGCGAAGAACGTTTGGGTGAGACAGTGCGGAAGCTGAAAGGAAGGCTCGAAACGCGCAGCGTACTAGTGAGGCGGGATTGAGGCAGGAAGGAAGGCCAGCAATGCGCAGCGTAATAGTGGGGTGTAGGTATGCACAGGCTAGGTTGACTAGGAGTTGTTAAACCACAGCTATATCAAGCCTGCTTGTCGCTGTAACTGCAGGTTCCAGCGGAATAGATCTGAGAAGACCCGGTCTAACCTCTTTGGGTGAAAGCCCTCTTTCACCCAACACACACGCCGTGTTGCGAATACTTACGCCCTGCGAATTTTTGCGTCCTGCCGTGGTTGCCTAATCTCCCTACGTTGCCCGCCTGCGATGCGGACCCCGTGGCTGCTGACAGGCTATTCGATCTCGTCCCATCCCTCTCGTTGAATCATACCGTCTCGGGCGCATTCAAGGTGCAACAGGCACATAGAGCTAGCTTTCCACGTACGCAGGAACCAGTTATACAGTCAGAAACTTCACCAATAGCGCCGTGATCATTTGCGTCCTACGAGACGCCAAGCCTGACAGCAATAGGTGCTGCGTGTTGCACAGCCCTGGAGTAATACGGCTGAAACGTTCCCGAGGTCGGTTTATCAAGCCGGTACATCCGACACCAAAACCTGGTCGCAGCTTCTCCTTCAACACCGTACGGTCGCAACACCGGACCACGCATATCTAACGCTGTCGGAGCGACCTCACAGGAAAGACTCGCCATTCGTCCGGCTGTGGAAAACACGATGCATTCTTCGTATGCCGATACCTCCCGGCTAGCGAGCTGGAAAGCGGCAGCAGGCACTAGTGTCATTGCTGGGGCCATTATCATCCTCGTCGTCGTCTTTATCGATCGACTGGCGTCGAAACCGAAAACATACCAGCTGTTTCCCGTCTGGGCAACACTCGAGATTGGACTAACTTCTCATCTTCTCTCCGAGAATGGACTGGGTCGCCGTATTCTGTGAGTGCCATGTGACCTTATTCATCTAGAAGTAATACTCATGTCCGCGTTTGTAGGATGTTGCTTCGGCGAAACAGTGGATCTCTTGTTGGGCTCTCATCAAGACACCAAATACTCATTGATTCGCCGCACATGACAAAATTGATGTCGCAGTCAAAATCCATCTTAGATCCTTTTCCGGCTCAGTACACCCTTCTCGTCCGTGTATTCGGTGGCGAAGACTCTCTACAGTTCAAACAAAAATTGGACGCTTCCTATATGTCGCTGAAATCACCCGTCGAGAAGGTGTTCTTAAATGAGAACGCTGCCACTGCTGCTTTGGAGAGAGCTTGCATACCCGACAAAGTGAAGTCCTTCGTGACCTTCAAGTCTAATCCTCGCGACATAGAGTTGTGGGAGCATTCGGCACAGATTCGGGTTATCAACCCTGACTCTGGTGGTGTTGAGAAAGTGGAAGCAAATTTTCAAAGCTTGGTTCGAGACTTTGGTGCCTGTGTCGCCATCCCACAGCTATACGGTCGCGACTTTCTCGATCGATATCCACAGGCACTAGAGGATTTGTGGAAGTTTGATAACGATCTCTTCCCCCTTTTAATGATTGGACTGCCACTATGGGCCCCTTTGAAAGTGTTGAAAGAAGGTCTCGCTGCGCGGACCCGTCTCATCACTGAACTCGAGGCTTTGTATCGCCGAATCGACCAGTACCAGCAGGGAGATAATGTCAATTTCGGCGCTGATATGCGCGACGTCGGCGAAACAGCATTGGGAAGGAACGCCGTTTACAGGAGGGAGGGTTGGTCCTTCCCTGAGCGTGGTGCTGGAGACCTTGGACTCCTATGGGGTCAGAATGCGAATACGCAACCACTCCTCTTCTGGCTGTTGACCTACGTATATTCCACGTCCGAGGTCTTGGAGCAACTCCGCGTGGAACTGGCCCCATATGTTACAATGTCTACGTCCACCCCTAGAGAGCTAACATCACTGGATATGCAAGGCTTGTCAAGGAATTGTCCGTTGCTGAAGGCGTGTATTTATGAGACTTATCGTCTTGTAAACGAACCAACGTTTGTGTCCCCGTTCGAATATCATGTGAGACATTTACTGACCTCGTACACCCACATCTTAGGTCCATTAGGTCTGTTGGTTCAAGCCCAGTTCACGTTACGGACGGGGAGTTGAGACATGAACTTAAGCCAGGAACATTCGTGTCGGTACCCTATTCCCTGGTAAACCGTGACGCTTCGATCTACAACAGTCCCAACAAGTTTGACCCTGGGCGGTTCCTGGAACTGGATCCATCATCTGGTAAGCTTACTGCTCGATATGGACGATTGAAGCCATGGGGATCTGGCCCTGCAATCTGTAAAGGAAGGATATTTGCTGAGAAGGAGATTGTAACGTTAGCTGCTGCTATCATTGAAATGTGGAACGTTGACCCAGCGGACGGGGTATGGAAGCTTCCGGGCATGATTCCAGGAACCGGAGTCAGAAAGCCGACCAATGACATACGTGTGGTGATTACAAGACGGACTTAGCATGTAACATAGTCAGCGTAGTATGTATGTTGCATACAAGCTCTCACCAAGTATCGTGATCGTTGCAGATATTCACATTTAATTTCCGATTACATTAACGCCTCAGTCCCTCGTCCCAAGCAACAAACGTTTGGTGTCGATAGTCTGGCATGCACTTCACCTTCTCCGGCGGAGAAATCTCCCACTCGATTTTGATATCATCTTCTTCGTTCGCAACATGCTTAGATGTGTATCCTTTCAGAGCCTTGATCTTCTTTGTTCCTTCATCCGAGTATTCCACGTTTACGCTAGGTACTACAGCTATTTTTCCGTAGCCGTTAAACCACATGTCCTTGGCGAACAACTTCGGCTCGCCTTGGAAACACTCGCCTTCCTTATGCGCCCGAAACTTGATCTTTTTCTCCATGAGCGGTTTCGCTGTGAAGGCTGTTATGCCGTTCCAGCACGAAAACACCTGGAATGGTTTCGAGCTCGACCAGCGTGCGTGTGCTTTAGGGTCATTGTGGAAGAGGTTCCAAGCATTATCCCATGATCCGTTTTCCGGGATATCAAAGAACAAATCACCAGTGGTGCCGCGCGCAATCCAGACATCATAAAATGACGGGTTTTCACCAACGTATGTCCAATCCATGGCACAGGTCTGATCTGCTCCCTGAAACTTCCGCTGATGTATTATTTCCAGAATATCTTCCATACACAAAGCCACGTCGTTGGAGAAAATTACCGTAGTATCCTCGTCGTAATGCTCCGGATGAGCAATGAGGTCTCTCAGGGCTAGATTGCGGAGCTTTGCAAGATTCTCGATGCGATTTTCTCCTTTGGCCAAAGGGTTAATGTCGCTCGATTTGAAGTGGTATCTTATTCCGAGGAGCTGCATGCTAGCGCGAAGCTGCTCAAGTACTTCAAAGGTGCCATCGTCGGATCTTCCTTCGACTATGGATAGCACGCAATTCTGTGGCCCAAGGAAGTACATGGTTTCTACGATGGAACCAATCAATCGCGGGAGAAGGTCAACACATTGATGTAAATCGAGGGCAAAGAAGTATCGAGGAAGCTGCCCATGTTGGAGTGATCCAGATGATCCACCGAGGTACGCGTACCTTTCAAGGTTTGGCTGTGGGCACTCAAGTCGCGGGAAAGTCGTAGATGCAGGATTCATGATGGCGTGCAGATATGCTGGTATATCAATGAACGTGGCATTGTCATCTTGTGAAAGCTCAGAACTGCCGCTGACACTGGGAGGCTCGGGATTTTGTGAGGTTGTTGGCGAGTGAACTAGATTGCTCGGCTTCGTTTCTAGTCCCAATGTTAAACTCGACTCACATTACCTAGGTATCGGGAAGCAGAGGCTACACACCTGCCGGGGTTGGTTTGACGATACCAGTGACGATGGGTTTTATCCGCGAAAGGGAATCGCCATAGTCGAAAAACCCGAAGCCAGCTATCAGGAGGAAGACGATCGCAAGCAATGCGGTCGCCTTGAAGACCGATCGCAAGCTTCTTGTTGTCATTAGAAAGGAGCGACGAGGAAGGAAGGACGGGACGTGACTGAGAAGAAACAAAGCCGATGAAGTCTCTTCCAGAGGAGATAAATGCGTGACTGAAAGTACCAAGTCGGATTCGCGCTGTCTCGCGTGGAGGTAAGCGCTCAGGAAAAGCCCACGGGTTGCGGCACGGCGGCAAATGACGCAGGCAATTATCCCACTAGCCACACCGTTTGGGTGAACAAGTGGCCCGTGCAGACCTCGGGAGCGTTCCTTATTAGTGAGACCAGTCAACACATACCTTCTGGCATTCTCACACGACAAGAGAAAGTCGAACGGCGTCACGCGTCACGCACCAGTACCAGGAGTACCGCTCACTCTTGCGCGCTTTCGCTAACTTAGTGAACTCCGTTGAGGTGGATTCTAGCAGCGAAAGTTGGGGTATTGTTTGGTGATGTTGGCGCGCGCGATTATTGTTGTCTCTGGCGCCAGGACTTCGGGAGTCTAGCACAGATCCACGCGCGAAGAGAGAAATGCATATTTCAATGCATCCAGATGCTCGTTGTGCTCGGAAGGCGTCGCTCGTTGTTATCCTTGCCGGTTTTGCCCTGGGCGTCCAGAGCATGCCGTTGGTGTCAAACGAAAAGGTCTATGGCGATACTGGATACGCGACAATATCAGAGGTGCGGGTATATTGATCTAGCAGACCAAGGGCGAATAGGCATTGCAGGTCGATGGCGATAATCAGGCCTACTTAAAGATAAGTTAACTTGGACCCTACGTGCTGGCATTATAGCAGATTGGGGCCGTTTCCCTCAAGGCCAACACGACATCTTCGCCCCAATAGGACAGTGACTGCATAAGCGCAATTTAAACAATGACTGTAGTATCGCCCCTGCTGACCGCAGACCTGCGGTAGGGTCAGCAGTAGCCTCTAAGTCGCATCTATGTCCACTACGTGTCGCACCCATCGTCGCATCTGTTCCTTCGCTCCTAGTATTGTACTAATCAACGCGCCTTCGTCATTATCAACACTAACTTTGAGAAATGTTGAGATTCCTCGTGTCTCTTGTCGCCTTGAGCTCCGTGGAACTTGTTCGTGGCCATTTTGCACCCCTAGGACCACGTGCAACACAGCAAGCCCGGGCATCTCACTCCCAGGAAGGGGTTTTCAGACGACAAGACGATGCCTCTACTACTATCTGTGGATACATCAATGGCGATTCTAACCATCCTCGACTGGCTCCTCTCGGTTTCGATTGCCTAACGGACACCGCCGATGGCTTATGGGGGTTTTGTCAAACAAGTGTCTCGGTCCAAGATTGTAGATTCATCGGTATATGCACGGATCAGGGCTCGTGTACGTCTGGATGCGGCACACTGTCCGGTGAAACGGGTATCAGTACTTCATGGTTGGTCACTCCATGGCTTTGGACATACATAGAGGGGCTCTTCTAACTCAAAGTGTCCTCCAGTCCATCCAATCAGTTTTGTACAACTGCAATCTTGATCGATGAGTCGGATCAGTCATTCTCATACATTGCCTGCGGAAGCGAAGCAAAAACCGAAAGCGTTTTCGTGAAATCGAACGTTGCGGTCGCAATAACGACATCCACTGAACGCAGCGTACTTTTGGGTAGTTCAACACCAGCTACACAAACTTCGACACCTTTACCTTCAAGCGCCAGTATCCTGCTCAGCGTTTCATTACCGCCGTCAACGTCAAACCCGACGCCCGGATCTTCCGAACACAAGTCAAATAACATTGGGCCTATTGTGGGAGGAGTTTTAGGAGGGCTTACAATGATCTGCTTGACCGTTCTTGGCGTCTTTCTCATTCGAAGGAAGCGTGGCGCTTCAAAGGACAAAGGCCAGCCCTCTGGACACACCTACGGTCTCCGGGACGAATTCGCCCAGGAACCTGAATTGAGCATGGGGAATACGCGACACATACGGAAGGCATATCAATGGGATAGCAGACGTGGACCGGTTGAGATGTCGGGAGGACATCATGTAAACATGGAGCCTGCCGAGCTGCCAGGAAGAGTCCACTGATGCCTACGTACCCGATGACAGAGAACGAAATGATGAATCGAGTCGCGGTGAGGTGCGATAGTAATGTTGGAGGCTGGATATATGTTAACCGGTAAAAACGTAATGTAAACGATGTGACGAGACCACGCGCGTGCTCAAAAATGACCACAGATGCATTTAGTTCTCCCGCCAAGAACGTACCACAAGGTTATACGATGACACTTCCAGTCAGATGATCGAAGAGCGATCTGAGCGTAGCCCTTGTTCATGCCAGACGCAATCGGTACCTGGCATACCGAGTTCGCATTGACTGAGGTATTGTACGAATGCTGTCGGCGGGTCTGCGGGTCGCGGTGGGTCTTGAGTCGTATATGCGAAATAGCCGGACGGTCAATGATATGCCTAAAGACTCTATTCCAAAGCTTCTGATCAGGCTTAGATTCAATGCCATCACCGTCCGTACAACGGGAACGTTTATGGTGGACGTCTTTTGTCGCAGGCTTGACCGCAAGCTTATTGTCGGTGGCTCGGATCGACCCCTTGATATCCTCCCCCACGGTCTACGACACTACTGGCAGACATTCGCCTATGTTTGTCTTGACAACTCGACAGCTCATGTCCTCCTCCTGGTTGGGCGGCAAGCGCTCTGAGACTACACTCGATACCTGGAGGAGTGAGGGCGGTCAAAGAAGACACTGTTCTTATCCGGTACACAGCGACACCAGAATGAATCCCCAGCGGCAATTCTTGAGTACTACGACCACAATGCGACTAAGATTCGACGTGTTGCTATCGTCACCTACCACCCAGAGAGCTTCAAAAGAGACAAAAGCACTACAGCATCAAGCAGAGATGATAATTTGGCGATCCGCGAGCAGCTAATTAACTACGCCCTAACTATCCTATACAGTCAGCCCAGTGTCGAAGGACTCTTTTCTACATGCGTGTATTACTTCAACCTCCGGTCAGGGGTCTTCATTCCGAAACATGTCATCGCCAAAGGAGGCAGCACTCTGTCCGAGTATCTGCACTTACTTCTTGTGTTTCCTGAAGCAATGAGAGCAGTGAAAGAGTCAATGAACAAACCAGGTAGACGGTTGTCGCAAGCCGCGAACGCGACGATGAAGCTATATGAGATGGATGCAGACGAGGCTGTGGATTGGTTGGATCGTCCAGAAGTCCGAGTCATCTATGGGCCTTATGTAGGAACGTACAACGCTTCTATTGTACAGGCAGAACGGGCGAGGTTAACGAGGAAGCTGAAATACGCGATGGAGTATCGATACAGAGGTGCGCAGAATGAAGGTCTGCTAGAGGAACTCGAGATAGCTATGGACAACGAGTCTGGAGGCCCGGTTGAGCGGTATCAGACTGTGTTCGAGCAAGAACAGCGGCGACGACTGTACGTTGAGACGTTTCAAGACTGCCACCGAGTTTTTGGGAAATGGAGACATACGAACGATCGTCTTTTTGGGACTTTTACTCTATCCATGCCACATCGTGAGGGCGTACACTGTCTCGTTACTCATGGAGCCACCAACCTCCTACAACTTCATGATCAAATCTTCGCTTACATCTGCTTAAGTCTCTCTACAGCACGCACACTCCTTCTTGCCGGGGTGACAATGTATAGTCATTTCTCTCATTTGCAAATACTCTAGTATCTACAAAGCCATCATCTTCTCATCTCTAGCAAAAGCAGCCCCGCTAAAATCGACACGATAGAAACAACGCCTGCCAAATGCAAAGCTTACTCCTCACCCTTCGTTACAGCATGCCTTTTTTTTCTCGAAAACCGCCCTGAAAAAAAGTTTTCCCACAAAGGCCAGGCTGGCACCTGGATCTAAAAAAGCCATTTGAACATGGACCGCGGCAAGCTCCGGGTCCTTCCTGAAAGGGGGTAATCGTTGAAGAAGCGAAAGAACGTATCATAGCAAACGAGATCTTCGTGACGTAAAATAGTGCGATATACACAAAAAAATAGTGCCTCGTGACGCCGATAGACATATAGACGGAGGACTGGTATCAAATTCTGGCCATGAGCGAGGGGTATCTGGTGGTGTTGGAAAGTGGTGAGCTTAATGTAACGTAAGCGTCTCGTCCTCCTAGTGGGAGTTGGTGGTGGGTTCAGGTGGAGGCGTGGACAGGAGCGAGATGCCGATGGTAATTAGAGCAACCAAGAGTCATAGGATGCTGCATGCGCTGCCCGAAGACCTATTGATACGTTGTCAGCTACTGCACCGGAGATATCTTCGCGTCGAGAGCATCCAAAGCCAATGGCATGGACGGAGATGTGTCGCTGGACACTTATGCGTTATCTCTATCGTCATAATGATCAGCGCACAAGGAATGATCCACGTCTCTCCGCGGAAGCCATGCTGCACGACGACGGGACGATCACCGTTTGTGCTTGCGTCACCCAAGACTTAATGCATGTGTTGGGTGCCTGGTGCCGAGAGCCGAGGGATTGTAGAGTTCGAGAGATAGGAAAAGGTAGATGCTTACCATCTTTGCCCGCGGATCCTGCCAATCCACGAGTAAACAATCTTCAGGCGCTCGCGAACCCTTTCTGTTTGTAATAAAACATATTTCTCCTCTTCCACGATTGGGACGACAGAGGCAAACCAGTATGGAAATATCGCGGGGTCCTCAGGTGGTTCACCATAGACTTGGATGATGCGCTCACGAAGCCAAGGCGCGCTAGCCTCTCTCATTTCCCGCACAAACGCTGTGCAACTGTCGAGTAGTTGTTGCGTAGAAAGGGTCTCAATCGCAACTTCTGCAGGGAGCTGGTTTTGGGGGTGGTCGCGGAAAAATGCTTCCGCATAGTCCCGTGCCATGGTGGTTTCGCGCTGCTCTAGAATGGCTTCTTCGGCAAGAGAGACATCTTCAACGCGCTCGATGCGGCTGACGTTGTACCCATCAAGCAACCCATGTGCCCTCACCTTGAAACGACCGATACCACGTGTTTCAATAAAGCTACGCCCATCACGGAGTAGCTCGTAGTTGACGATCTCGAGTAACGTTCCGTATTCCAAAAACGGGGTCGGACCAAGATCGCCTTGTGGGGCATGAGTGCGATTGTACATAACCATGCCGAATTGTCTGCTGCCTTCAATGACACGTCGCATCATGAGCCGATAGCGGGGCTCAAACACATGAAGGAAAGTCGGCATTGCAGGTAGTGACAGTGTGCAAATGAAGAGCGGAACGTTCAAGACGTTGTCCCCCGCCTGTTCCTCCGCCTTGAGAGCATCGGCACGAGCACTGACCAAATCTGGACAAAGTCCATTCAACAAGGAGTTGAGTATGACGTTGCTAGATTGATTCTGTAAGGACGCAGGCACATGCAGTCCTCTACGACAGAAGGGGCAAATGCTGCTGTGGTCCATAACACGAGCGAGGCAGCGGCGGCAGAATGTATGACCGCACGAAGTCGTGGTCGGGTCGAGCATCAAGTTGTAACAGACAAGGCAGTCTAACTCCTTGTGTGTTACGTCGCGCAAGCGTTCCAGCAGCGTGATGTCAAGATGATCGTAGTTGTCCCCGCTTGCCGATAACGACTGGTAGTGGACTTCGGAAGTGTACCGAAGTTTGCCCATCTCAGCCATGGTGAACGTAGACACGAGACGTCCGCCATATAGTTCCTCCTGATGCCCATGGTGACTAAGCTTTTCCTTCTCTTTCTCGTCCATGGGTGTATCTTCATGCTGGGGTATCTCGATCAGGAGCATGGCAGTATTTTCCGCAGATGGTCTATGTTCGACTATTTCGGCCTTTATCAAGTCCATCAACTTGGTCAACGTCACGTCGACAGAGCACTCAGCAGAAGCATGTTCGGCCCCGCAGCCCATTAGCGGACACGCGATGCCCATAAGGCGATCTGGCGTGTTCGGGTAGGATATGTTGGTACGAGGTTGCGGGGGAGGCAGGCAGCCGCGACAGACGGTGTGGCCGCAAGGCAGTGTGACGGGGATACTCAGAGGTTTCGAGCATCGCGGGCACTGGACCAGGCGGACCATCTGTCGGGCGTCGCGGTGGGCGTCGAGGGCGACAGCCTCCGAAGCCTCTGCCGAGCGCTCATTGTCGCACATGAAGGCCTGTGCAGATAGTTGAGGCTCAAAGGAATGCTCAACGCTTTCGACGATAGAGCACCCTTTTGTCCGTTGGTGATTCATGTAGATTCGCTATGTTGTGCAATGGCTGCGGCAGCCATGTACAGTCGCAGGCCCGTCGGTGGGTCAGGTCGCGGTTTTGGTTGGTTCCGAGGTGGTCGAGCGGATGCGCACTGCAGGTGGTGTGCAGGGAGGGAGGGCGGTTATGTAGTCGAGTAGCGAGGCTGCGTACTTCAAAGATAGTCAAACCTTCGAAATAGGCAAGAGTGAGTTGAAACGTCTTTCACGGAACGGTCGATGCTTTCGGACGCTGGGTCGAGGCGGATCAGCAACGCGCGTGCTGATGCAGGGACGAATGACGACAGAGGCTGCCGAGGGTGGTGATATTATTGTCGGGGGCAGACAATGTCGAAGTTTATAGGAGCACGCGGGGTGGCAACACGAGAGCGTACGAGTGGGAGGAGGTGGTGCAGTCTAGCAGTAGAGCGCAGAGCGGACGAGGGCCATGTTCAAAAGAGAACAACTTGAAGTGGTCATCCATGCTGGACGGATAGTCAAAGATCGGCGATGTTGCTCTGCGCCCCGTATCAGTCATGGAAGGCTGCCACCCGATGTCTGTGTTCAACGCTGGGATGCTCGGATCGAGGCTAAGCCTATCCAGGCCCCATGAGAGAACGGCACGGTCCATACACAGAGAAATGTACACGCAGCCAAAGACAACGCAAGGCCTTGCTTGTTCCCACACCAGATGCGCCTCGAACCGGTATCCCGAGCACTGGGAAGACTGCCGCGGCCCATTGATTGCGCCGCGTATCCGGAGTGGACACGGCAAAGGCGGTGATCATGTAATTCCATCCATTTCAATGTCTTTCAAGCGGCATATCTTCGCCAAGCCAATATTCATTCTCAGCAGCGTAGCCGCGCGAGCCCAGCGCAATAGCAGGTGCGTCTATCCGCAAGAATTCGTGTCTTTCTATCGTTGCGCGGCAGTAATACATGTAAGAAGCGAAAGTCGTCGTCGTCATGGATCACGTCTACGCAGCCAATCAACGGCGGGTCCGCTCGCTGTCATTTTCCCATGT